TTCTGAAAGCATAAAATAAAAATGATAGGAAATAGTATGGTTGGGTACTTCACATGAATTACAAAACATGAAAACATAGTTAATAATCAAATTATTACATTATTATTATTAATATTATTACACATCAAAAAATAACCAAATAGAGTGAAAAGGAGTTTTGAAATGCAACAATATCTCAAAAACTACTAAGATATTTTTTGTGAAAATATAACAGTATTTGCTTGAGCGCTCGATTTTTCGAAGATATGCGCGACGCAACTAAAATTTTAGATTCATTAAAAATTAATTTTTTAATCAGAATTATATAGATTAGTCGTTGTTACAAGATATATGGTAAAATACAAAATATAGTACCTGCACCTAAGTACCAAAAATGAAATGCGCGCGGAGCCTAAATTGTTATCATTCCACATACGTTGTATGACCCGCCGCGCACAAGTGCGCGGCTTCCCTGTTTTATAGAAAGTATAGTGATACGACAATGGAGGTCACGACGTAATACAACTAAATTGTTTATAATTCACTCATCACAAACCACTTGCACTTTTCATCGATTCTACGATCAAAAGTACGTTTTAAAAAGTTTATTTATAATTTATAGGATACAAAGATACAAAAGTAATAATTATTTTATTGAATTCAGAATAGAATAATGATATTATTTTAAACTTTTATATTATAGTGGCACAATCACTTAATTAATGCACAAGTTTGCCACGAAAACAGTTCAGGATACATACAATTTGTTTCTCTAAAAAAGGATACATACAATTTGTTTCTCTAAAAAAAATTTGTTTCTCTACAATAAAACCTTAAAAAGCAACCACATTATATTCTAAACCAGATAAAGGTTAGACTTGATACACTAAATAAATGATATAGATGATCAATGAAACGAAAAGTTTTCAATGAAACGAAAAGTTTTATTTTACATTCCTTTAATCATAAATAGAATAAGAGCTTAAACCACAAATTAGTTAGCTAGACGTAAACTTGAGGAAATATTCTTTATTTAAAAAACTTTATTTGGTTGTTAGCATTTTTATTATGGTAAGTGGTTGAATTTAGGGGAATTTAGTGAGACAGGGTCAGTTTCTCTATTGTCTTAGAAAAATTTCTACTTTACAGTAGGCAATGCTGAGTGGCAGGAATGAGGGACCAAAACGCTTGGGGCTAACAATGGCCCATTTACAAACCACTTCAGACATGGCAATGATGATATTTATGCTTAATTCGTCTGAAACTGACCCTACTACACTTCTAATATTCTATAAAAATCTCTTCTAAAATAGGTATAAAGATGCATAGCGCAAAACACACAAACAAAAATGTTTATAATCCATATATAAATAAATTAAATAAATATCTATAGAACTTTCAAATTTCTATAAAACTGATAAACCTATAATCTATATAATATATATATCTATTCATTTTGCACCCAGAGAAAGATGTGATCACAGAGGTAGTATCGATATTATGTTCATGACAAGGTATGCATATGGGGCTGCTGCAAGTTATATTTTGCTAAGATATTACAGCTTTTTCAAGCTTAAGTAATCTAGGCAAGGTCAATTTTAAAATTTTTGAATTTTGTCGAACACTGTTTAAGGCTAAGTTCCAGTCGTTTGGTTCTCCTTCCTTTTGAGTGTGAGCGATGGTTATTTTTATGGATGATTTGAGGTGATTGGGCTTACAGGTGAATGTAGTTAGCATGAGATTTTGTCGTACTGTGTTCCAGATTGTCCCTGCTCTATATATGTAGCTGTCTGATGGTTTAGGTGTGAGAATGAGTGTCTCTTTGCCAAGTCTGCCAGATGTTTCAAAGAGGGAGTAAAGTGATATAGGGGTTCTATATTTCAAGACCTTGAAGATGTCATTATGTGTATGCATTTTCCAGTATAACCAATTGGGGAAAACTAGGATTGAAAAATATTAAGATACAATATTATGAGCACGTTTCAAAAGAAATGTTTTCTGGTACACTTTAAAAGAGTCCAATGTTGTACAATTTTTAATCTCAAATGGTAGTTCATTCCATAATTTAGGGCCAACATAAGACAAGTGTTTGGAGGGTGCTATGTTGTAGACTTATTTTGGATTGTAGATCAATAACCGAGTTTTCGAAATTTTGGAGTGTGGAGGGAATGGGTAAATCCGGAGTCTTTAGCGTATTGAGCATGGAAAATGCCCGTAAGAGCCTTTACTAATCAAATGTTTACATTATATAATTTAAACCTGAATATAATAAAACTTTTCGATTAAGTGATAAATTTATCTCCGTATTTGTTCCTCAGCCTGTTTTACCTGAGGACCCCAGGCTATTATGTTCATTAACATAATAAAGATTTGGCGGAATGACAGGCTGAGCGCGGCCCAGTAACAGCCTGTTATGTAAAATGTATCACAAAATTAAAATATAGCTCCATAAAAGGTGGCGGATGGGCGAAGAACTGCTCCATAAGCTAGAGCAGTCAGTGCTAGCAGTGCAGCAGAAGTATGGCTTCCATATCATTCCATATATCATTATAAACTTTTTTCCTACAATATTCGATTATGTGTGAGTCATGAGTTTTGACTTCTTATAGATAACAATTATCTTATTTATTTTGACTAAACATTGGCTGGCATCTTGGGCCAGTCCCTAACAAAATATCGCATGTAGTTCATATTGGTAATGACAATTGACTGCATTACTATTACAACTTAATTACACTCATTACTTGATAGGCTTGCTATTATGATTATTAGTTTCGTCAGCAGTTCTCCCGTTATGGTTTGGTCTGCACAGCTTGAAATTAGTTAATTTTGTATAAGTCAAATTAAATTTAAGTTCATTGTGAAATCATAGGTCGATATTATATTTAATATTATAGTAATTTAATGGACTATTGACCGTCTGTAAGTGATAGTCCTGCTAATTTGATTGACGCTTCATTATGGTTGCCTATTTTGGGACATCCTGCTCAATCCTAGCAGTACTATTAATGCAGTCTCCTTGGTTGATTCGAAAAAAACATAAAACACAACTTGAACTGCTATTTTCAGGATGTCTTCATGAGGTACAGAAGTACGAAAAGATTGAAATATAGAGCTTGGGAACAATTACAATTTGAATGGAAGCCTTGTGAAAATAAAAGGGATTGGACTCAAGAATCAGTTGATGAGCGATTTTTTTCAAACGGACAAAATGGTCTGAATTTTGTTGCAGGAGATACAAAAGAATCAATGAAATCATCTGAATGGTATGACATACATGATGCTTTTGATCATGACGTTTATTTTCGTCATAATTGGAAAAAGCGTAGGCTACACTTACTACATGCAAAAATTGGCAAGTGTGACTACTCAACAACCATTGTAGTGACAAGAGAAGCATTTTCCCAAGGAGTACAACCCAAAGGAAGATTCATACAAGGTTTGTTGGACACCCCAAATGTAGTTAATGTGAGGTTTTTTGATCAGCACTTGCCAGAATATAGAATTGTTCTCTATTGCAAAACTGAAAAAGCTCTCATGTATTGCAAATTAGAGTTTAAGCACCGATTAGGCAAATATAAATTCCTTCATAATGAAAGCCCAAGTTATCGAGAAATAAGCCCTTCTTCAAAGTTTGCAGTTCCTAGAATCATTGGACATGAAGAAGGAAACATTAAAAAAATGGAAGCATTAGATGGAATAGATTTTGTATGTTTTGACAGGAAAAAGAGTGTTTTCTGTATAGGTGGCACAAGTCGAGATGCAGTCGACAAAGTTAAAGCAATGCTCAGAGCCCAAATGTGGAATAAATCTTATGGAAATTCTTACAAACAAGTAGCTAAAGACAACTCCTGGAAAGTAGCTGAATGTCCGGACATTAAGTTTTATCCCTATTCATCTCCCAGCTTTAAAGAAAAAATGGAGCTGAGATTTGTTATTGAGAAAGAAACTATGAAGCCACTGAATGGTCAGCCCCAAGGTAAGAAGGCGATGTCCAAAAAACAAATTAAGAACAACAAGAATAGTGTTGATAAGAATAAAGGAAAAAATGTGAAGACTAGCGAGAAGAAGAAGAATACTGAGAGTAGTGCTAAGAAGAGCACTGCAAAGAAGGTCAAGAATAATGCTAAAAAGAAGAACAAAGTTTTAAATATTGCGCCAGCTGGGAAAGTACTTCTTGCTCAATCTTCAACACAGCAGAATATGAGAGAACCAATGAGTGACCATCGTCAACAAAACGGTTTTGTTAGGGTTCATCAACAGTTGCCAAGAAATATTATGCAGCCACTTGTTCATCAAATATCGAATCATTATGTTTATCCAGGAGGTTATGTTTATCCAGGAGGTGACATATATGTAGGCAAATGGTACAGACAGTATTACCGCCTGACTGGAATCATCAAGTGAGACCATTAATGGTTCTGAATCCGGAAGCACATGGCTTCACTCCACAGAGCCCCATCTGATCTGAAGAGACTGGGAGTCATCTATGGCAACGTTAAGCCAAAGTCCTCTGCTCCATGGAGATCCTTGACGAATGACAATCTGTCTAACTTTAACCTTTTAACCAATTGGTCTAAAAATTGTTTTGCCAATTTTTTATCAATCTTAAAATGTGCATTACGGAAATCTTCTATTTTGTTTATTTTACACTATCTTTGTTAATATTGTAATTGACATGCATTTTGTAGTATATATGAAACTTTGTCCTGTAAAAATCATTAAATTTAATATAATACATTATATTAGTATAATTAAGGTAATTTTTATTTAAAATTTCGTTGTTCGTAAAGTTAATCAAACGAATTTCTGTATAGAATAAATTTTCTACTGTATGATTGATTGAAATGAATTTATTTCGCTTTCTCTTGTTTTCGAGGTCCTACTATATACTGTGCAATATGATATTTAAATCCGCACTAAAAATAATGATAAATCAGGTGTTTACATTATATAACTTAAACCTGAATACAAGAAAACTCTTCGATTAAGTGATGAATTTATCTCCGTATTTGTTCCTCAGCCTCTAAAATTTATCACAAAATTAAAATGTAGCTCCATAACAAGTAGCGGATGGGCGAAGAACTGCTGCACACGCTAGAGCAGTCAGTGCTAGCAGTGCAGCAGAAGTATGGCTTCCACTCCGGGCTGGCTATTGAGGAGGACTACTGTGTTTCTACCATGTGCAGAACTCTGGAATGTGTTCTTCTTCATCACGCTAAATTTAGAAGAGCTAGTTTCTTGAAGGTAAATTTAATTTCAAATATCTCCCACGGTACCGCCTAACAGTTAATATGTGATAACGAATAGTAATACACACAATTAATTAAATACACCAAATTAGGTACACGCGATTATCCCTCCATCAAGTTAATCTGAATATCTGATATAACAATTCCCTTATTTGTCAGGACACAGATGATGATGTCTTGGTTTGGGACCTTGTGTCACGTTTTCTTGCTAAATCAGAGATCGTCAGATTCGAGAACGAAGCCAACCTCAAATCAGGTTTAAACTCTCTCAGAAAACAATATTATGAGTTATTCGAGCTTTTTATTTAGAATTAAAACAACTCCTTCACTTCATGGAGCCAGGGTGTGAACCAGGGTGTTTCCAGAACTACTTAGTTATTTAATAAATTACTTGTTATCTTAGGAATTGGAAGGTTGAGGAGTTGGCTACGAAGTGCTCTTAATGACGGACTAATTGAAAAGTATCTCCAACAGATAGCAGACTCTGATGTCAGTTTACTGAGGTTAAGTAGATTACTTCAGTACTTGCTATCTGTATAAAGTTATAAAGTTATACCATACTCAGCTGGGCGTGTAGTGCAAAAAACTCACTCAGTACTGTTGCTGGTTTCTCGCCCAATCAGCTCATGTTTGGGACACAGACATACCTGCCCAATGTCCTCAACTCAAGTCCACCTGCTCTTGAGAATGAAACGTCAAGTAAAGTAGTCGCTAGTCATATTAATGCTATGAATGCGTCTAGAAGGATGTTTCTAAGCTGTGAAAGCTCCAATAGGATAATGAAGGCTTTGAAGAAGCCACTGAGAACTTACACAGCACCTGTAACCTTTGGAAGTAAAGTTTACTACAAAGCTGTGGGATCAGACAAGTGGAAGGGTCCTGCAACAGTAATAGGACAAGATAGTACAGTGGTATTTCTTCGTCAAGGAAGCTTTGTAACAAGAGTACATCAGAGCAGGATCTCTCTTGTGAAGGACCAGGTTCCTTATGAATCTAAATCTGATAGTACAAATGGTCCAATTCAGGATATTGAGTCTATCAAAGAAGCAAGTGTGCTTAGAATACCAGATCTTGACTGTTCTAGTGATCATGGTTCAGTCCAAGAAGTTGAAGTAGAGCCTTCTACAAACCCTGTAGGTGAAGTTAATAGTTCTGCTGAAATCGAAGCTGCGTCACCTAGTACGAGTTTGACTGAAATAGCTGAGAAAAATGTACAAGTCTCGCAGTTAGTTAACAACACAGTCAGTACTAAGGAGGATCAAAGGATTGACAAGCCAACTGCCATTAAGAGAGGCTCAACAATAATCTTTGTTGATGATGGGACACAGTATGAGGCTGTTGTATTGTCAAGAGCAGGGAGGGCTAATGGTAAACATAAGAATTGGTACAATGTTCATGTTAAAGAGACAGATGAAACCATATCTATAGATGTATCTACCATTGATGACTTCACTGTACTGAACAAAGATGAAGGTGATGAGTTTGATTTCGACCCAATTGAAGATGTCTATGCTGTTCAATTGGATGACTATGCAACTGAAAAGCAGTTAGAACTGAGTTCGTGGGTAACTAACAAGGTGTATGAAGAAGTTCGGATAGAAGAGTTAGATGCTAGGAAAGTTATCACAAGTACTTGGGTATGTAAACAGAATGGCGATACAAAAAAGGCTAGACTAGTTGCTCGGGGATTTCTTGAGGATACATCGTCCATCATAAGTGATTCCCCTACTTGTTGCAAAGAGAGTCTTCGTTTACTTCTTGCCATCATTGCGGGAAAGAACTGGATTGTACAAGCATTAGACATTAAGTCTGCTTTCTTGCAAGGGAACGACATGATGAGAACTGTGTACATGAAACCTCCTAAAGAAGCAAAAGTTACCCCAGAAGTAATATGGAAGTTAAAAAAATGTGTCTATGGGCTAGTAGACGCCAGTCTCAAGTGGTATCAGCGAGTTGCTGATTGTTTAATTGATTTTGATGGTGTGAAATCGAAAGACCCTGCTGTGTTTTACTGGAGAAAGGATGGAGACCTTGCAGGGGTCCTTGCCTTGCATGTCGACGATTTCATGTATGCTGGATCTGCGAAGTTTCTTGAAGAAGTAATGACAAAAGTAAAATCTGAATTCCTCATAAAGATTGAAGAAAAATCTGCTTTCACCTACCTTGGTCTAGAAATTCGACAAAAGGCTCACTATATCGGCTCTTCAAAACCGATTTGCAAGTCTGGATAGTGAGGTCGACCTCGAGGATATGTGGCGTAATCTCAGTCAGACCGTCACTGATGTCTCACTGGAGGTACTAGGCAAAAGACCCCGGAAGGCAAAGGAGCAACACCTGTCACGGAAGACCAAGGATTTATTGACTCAGCGGGCACAGTTTAAGCGCAAAGACCCAAACTCGGACACTAACAGGTCAGAGTATTCTAAACTTAATAAGTTAGTCAAGAAAAGCAGCAAGCTAGACGACAATAACTGGGCAGTTAGAGTAGCTACTGATCTTGAGGAAGCAGCGAGCAAAGGTCAGCAGCGTGAGGTATGGGCAAAGATCAAGAAGATCTCTGGTAAGAACAAGAAGCCTCAAGCATCTTGTGTCCGGGACAAGGACGGTAGGAAGATCACGGATCCCCAACAGCAGAGGGATAGGTGGAAGGAGCACTTTACTGAACTTCTGAACCCCCCATCATCAAGTGTTAACCTTGCCGACCTTGATACAGTACCACCCCAACCCCACTTTAACTCTCTCTCTTGTTCGGATGGACCACCCACCAGAGACGAGATTAGTTATTCCCTGACAAAGCTTAAGAACAACAAAAGCCCTGGAGTGGACGGGATAACTAACGAGCAACTGAAGTATGGTGCGAGTGCTCTAGTTGATCAACTAGAGTGTCTATTCAAGAAAGTGTGGGAAGAAGAGACTGTTCCTGAAGATTGGTTAAAGGGTGTGATCATTGTTATTGGGAAGAAAGGAGACACTTCAGTCTGCGGGAACAACAGAGGGATCACCTTAAGGTCTACAGCATCCAAGCTTTTTCAGATGATTCTTCTTAAGCGGTTACATGCTGGTATGGAGTGTCTCCTCAGGGAGAATCAGTGCGGATTTAGACAGAACCGCTCATGTATTGATCAGATTTATTCTCTCCGAACTATTATTCATAACTGTCTTGAGTTTAACATTCCTCTTTACATTAATTTTGTGGATTTCAAGGCAGCGTTCGATTCTATCAGAAGGGAATTTATTTGGTGCAGTATGAGACACTATGGGCTGCCTGAAAAATATGTCAGAATATTTCAGTCATTTTTTGGGGGTACCATGAGTGCCGTGAGGGTTAATGGGGAGCTGACAGACTGGTTTGATGTTAACTCAGGCACAGGTCAGGGTGACATTCAAGCACCTCCTGTCTTTAATTTCTGCCTAAACTTTTCTGCATTTCTGGCTGAGACCAACAAGATCATCAGTCAAGGCGCAGTGCTGCAGAAAGAGATGAAGACGGTCGAGGAAAAGGTCATTCTGGACACCGATTATGCTGATGACATGGCTATTATGGACAACTCAGGGAAGGCCTACAGGAATCAACTGATCTATTAGTTCATTACAGCTCCTACGCTGGGCTCAGAATAAATGCAAAGAAGACCCAATGCATGGCTGTAAGCAAGTGCGCCTCCCAGCGACCTTTCATCAAGGATGATTGTATTGAGCTGTCGGTTGAGGGTGAACCCGTCGAGCAGGTTAGCAACTTTGTCTACCTGGGTGCAACTATTAGTGGGGATGGGACAATCAACAGAGACCTGGATGTCCGTATCCAGAAGGCTAATGGCGCCTTTCATCAGCTCTGGAACATTTGGAATAGCAGAACTATAAAGACTCCAACCAAGATCAGGATCTATAGGGCTGCTGTCCTCACCATCTTGTTGTATGGAGCTGAAGTCTGGAACACCACCAAAAAGCAGATGAAACGTTTCGAGGTTTTCCATCAAACCTCCTTGAGAAGGATCCTTAGGATTAAATGGTTCTTTCATGTAACCAACGACGAAGTTCTTAGGAGGGCTGGCATCAAGTCAGTTGAGACTTTCATCAGTGCTGCCAGGCTACGTTGGTATGGACATGTAGTTAGAATGCCAGACTCTAGACTACCGAGGTTTCTGTTGAACTGGAAGCCAAACTATGGAAAGAGGTCAAGGGGCAGACCCCGTAAGAACTGGAAGTCCTGCGTACTCGAAGATGCTGCTAAGTTTACAGGTGTTGAAAACATCGACAACGACACAACAGAAGCTTTGGCTACCAACCGAGTACAGTGGAGACATATGTTACGCCGCCAACGCGATGTGTGTGATGCAGGCCACTCCAACGACTAGGAGGAGACCTTACCATGTATGTATGTATTATTGAGATGGATCAGAAGAAGTATATTGAAAAGCTTTGTCCCATCGATATACCAGGCGGCGCCCTTAAAACCAGGGACCTCTCCAGTGATGAGAAGAATACTCTTAAGTCTAAGCTGGGCCAGATCCTTTGGGTATCCAATCACTCAAGGCCTGATGTGTCATTTCAGGTTTGTGTCACCAGCACAGGGATCAAAGATGCCACTGTGAAGGACTTTCATGACTGTAATCAGATCATAGAAAGACTAAAGAGAAAGCATGTCTGCATCAAACATCACTCACTTGGGAGTCTGAAAAATCTGAAGTTTATCCTCTTTAGTGATGCCTCACACAAAAACCTCTACAATGGAGCTTCACAGGGTGGATATGTAGTATTCATTAAATCGGATGATAGCCAGTTTGCCACTCCTTTGATATGGTGCTCAAAGAAGTTAAAGCGAATTGTAAGAAGCACCTTGTTTGCAGAAACCTATGCACTCCTTGAAGCAATTGACTCCTGCATCTTCCTTCGCAGAATGACATCACAGCTACTCAACATTGAGGATATTAAAATTGAATGTTATGTTGATAGTCAAACTTTGTGTGATTCTATTGTTAGTAATAAACTGAATGAGGATAAGAGACTTAGGCATGAAATAGAATGTTTAAAAGAAACTGTAAAATTAGATAATATTGATGTTCATTGGATATCTAATAAACTGCAAGTTGCAAACGTATTCACCAAAGCTGGGGCACCAACAAATTTAATACTTGAAGTTTTGGATACTGGAGTTTTAAGATTTGGATAATTTATCTATTGCGTATTTGTTATTGGTTTATTAAGGTGTGTTAGGTGTTTTAAGGATTTAGATTTTAATCATATTTGATGAATGATGACTGATATATAAGTGTTTGAAAGTTTGTGTATTTGATAGATTTTACCCCTGGTGTTTTTTATGGGTCTATTGTTAGATTTCATTGGAGATGTTTTATATGAACTCCAAGAGTTTCATCTCAACTTTACTTTATAAATGAAGTTTTATATTGACTATTTAAATTATTACAATCACCTCGAATTTTATCCTAAGCTTTTGTTTGTGGTTTGAAAGGGGTAAGATTGTTAAGTTGCTTTATATCACTAATTATGTATTTCCCAGGGCTTTGCTGTATAAGCGTATGACTTGATACTGTATGACTTGATACGATTCTTTACTACCTTTTCATATAACAACGGTGTAGTTACTGGTACCAATACCTAAGGTTAACACATTTTGTAGTATATATGAAACTTTGTCCTGTAAAAATCATTAAATTTAATATAATACATTATATTAGTATAATTAAGGTAATTTTTTATTTAAAATTTCGTTGTTCGTAAAGTTAATCAAACGAATTTCTGTATAGAATAAATTTTCTACTGTATGATTGATTGAAATCAATTTATTTCGCTTTCTCTTGTTTTCGAGGTCCTACTATATACTGTGCAATATGATATTTAAATCCGCACTAAAAATAATGATAAATCAGGTGTTTACATTATATAACTCAAACCTGAATACAAGAAAACTCTTCGATTAAGTGATGAATTTATCTCCGTATTTGTTCCTCAGCCTCTAAAATTTATCACAAAATTAAAATATAGCTCCATAACAAGTAGCGGATGGGTGAAGAACTGCTGCACACGCTAGAGCAGTCAGTGCTAGCAGTGCAGCAGAAGTATGGCTTCCACTCCGGGCTGGCTATTGAGGAGGACTACTGTGTTTCTACCATGTGCAGAACTCTGGAATGTGTTCTTCTTCATCACGCTAAATTTAGAAGAGCTAGTTTCTTGAAGGTAAATTTAATTTCAAATATCTCTCACGGTGCGGCCTAACAGTTAATATGTGATAACGAATACCTAGTAATACACACAATTAATTAAATACACCAAATTAGGTACACGCGATTATCCCTCCATCAAGTTAATCTGAATATCTGATATAAAAATTCCCTTATTTGTCAGGACACAGATGATGATGTCTTGGTTTGGGACCTTGTGTCACGTTTTCTTGCTAAATCAGAGATCGTCAGATTCGAGAACGAAGCCAACCTCAAATCAGGTTTAAACTCTCTCAGAAAACAATATTATCAGTTATTCGAGCTTTTTATTTAGAATTAAAACAACTCCTTCACTTCATGGAGCCAGGGTGTGAACCAGGGTGTTTCCAGAACTACTTAGTTATTTAATAAATTACTTGTTATCTTAGGAATTGGAAGGTTGAGGAGTTGGCTACGAAGTGCTCTTAATGACGGACTAATTGAAAAGTATCTCCAACAGATAGCAGACTCTGATGTCAGTTTACTGAGGTTAAGTAGATTACTTCAGTACTTGCTATCTGTATAAAGTTATAAAGTTATTTAACCTAATATGGTAATTATATCGTACAAATAAAACCAACGATTCTAAATCGAGATCCGACTGTCTGATGCAATGTTCTAGATCATTGAATCAATACTTGTTACTATCTATAACACTCTATAGTAACAAATGTGAGATATTTATAAGTATCCCACATCCCTCAGGTTATTTTACGATGATGGAAGTGTAATGCTAGATAAAGAGTTAGTCTCCTCTCTTCCCGGCATCTTATCTGCAGTTTCTACAGTTCTCTTCTCTTTTGATCTGGATCGTACTGCGTTTAACACACCCATCAGGATAGACAGGACAATGTCTGCTAAAATAGTTCCCAACAATGCCCACAAGCCACTCTCCTCTACTGGTAAATCAAGTTAATTAGGTATAGCATTTAAGGGGTCATTCATAAAAATGACTATATGTTTTAAAATGTTTAGTAAATTTTGATTTCGTAACTATATTTATTCAGAATGTTACAGAAGGAATTAGTTTAATGTAGTTGGAGGAGTCCTAACCCTCCAAACGTCCGAAAATGGCGTTTCTCTTGTATCTTTGTATCAAATATAAAACGATATCCATGTACAAAGGAAGTATCAAACTCGGTAACGCGATAACAAATATAAACAAAAGGTAAGCATCTCAGGACAGTGCGTGTGTGGCCTGGGGTTGGTCAATAGTGTGTCACGTGATTTTGATGATTGTCACAGGATTGGTTGCATAGTTCACTATCAGTTATCGGAGCACTGAATTTTGCCCTATTTTCCATTTCGTTGTGCGGCTACCTGTCTGCTTGATGAGGATTCTGATATGTTTCCTAATAATTTCTTACTGGTGGTAGTTAATGCAGTCTTTTATTGATGCTGGTAGCCGTTTAATTTGCTTATCTTTGTATTATCATAATGCTGGCGGGCAACATCGGTCTTATGATCGCAATGATTTCATCGATTTATTCCTTTTTTGTGCAAAAATAGAGCAAAAAGTTCGGTTCACGGCATGTAATTCAACAGGTAATCCACAGAAAGAGTGGAAACACCGCAGACTCACTAGATCTGAGTATATTATGTAGTTATGTTCACTTTATGAATCCGTATGATTTGAGCATGAGCTGCTGTCGCCTAGTATAGACTTAGATCCGCTTAGTCAAGACTTAGTTTCAGCGAGCCATAAATTTGAGCCAAATTGTACCCTGAGCCGTGGCTCACGAATCAAGACTCACGGATAGCCTGTTTTATACGTGCCAAAAGTAAATTTTGGCTTAAAATGTGAGTATATACTCACCAGATTGCACTGGCTTACTTTTATGAATGACCATTGACCCCTATGATGCACGAACTCCTTCTTGGTTTTAAATGAACGAGATTTTAGACAAAATCTTAAGTTTATTTTACATTTATAAAACAAGTATAAACAACTGTTGTTTTATCAATTTTGTAGATTGTGAATAGCAATAACACCTCTTACTGCTACTGATTTACCTCACTGAAATTTATCTGTCTCAAGAGTCTATCATTAGAGACAGAGCAGTTAGGAAATAGGAGGGTTAAAGTGTTAACTTGACTATGTGCTGCATTCGTAAGTTATGAAGAAACTTTAGTTTGATTTTACTTAAAGGTAGCAGCTGCAGTAGCAAGGGAAAACGGAGAGTAAAACGAGCAGAGATACTAGACACAGATGTACCTGAAATAGTGGAACCAGGAGCAGCGGACACGATACCAAACATAGAGAGACTGTTAGGTGGTTCCTCTCTATTCGGGGGAGAAGATGTTGATCTGGAGAACCTGTTAGTGGGGCTCATACCTCAACATCCCACTAGCGGTAGCAGTGATGAGGTGAGATTATGGGAATTTAGGAGTGAGGCCCTAGTATATTTTATATATTTGATATTTTCTATTTTGTTACCTTAAGATTATTTATCACATAATATTAGGGATGTTTCTATATCATCTTAGTCATTTGGGGTCCAAACATGTTATTGTTTCAGGATAATCAACTCAAAGAAACTCTAACTCCTAATACAGATGTAGCGAGTCAGGAACATACCGTTTCTTCGAGGTTTGTGTTCGCTGTGGGCATTTAAATTGTTTTTCAGGCCTCATAAAGAGTTTGCAGATACTATTAACATATAATATTTCCCAAGTGGATTCGCCATCCAAAGGGTGCATATCAATACTATAATTCAAAGAATTATTCAGTATAATGTATGCTGTACGACCGCCCACGTGCAAATTAGGTAAAAGCAAAAGGTTGCAAAGTAACCATGGTAACGAGGGTTGTTACACGCATGTGCACGTGCAAATATTGATAGAACAGCATTTTTATCGGTTTTGTTGATATTACGTTGTGTTTAGTGCGAGCAACATTTTAATCGGCTGTATCTTCGGTTGTGTAGGATATTTTTTGAAGCGATTTAAACTTACTAACAAAAATACTATTAGCTTCCTCCCTGTGACCACAGGTTTTCTAGTAATAGATAAACTGGCCAGCGATATTGAGGCTAAACAAAGTCCTTACTTTCATTTTGGATAACTTTTACCAAAACTCTGAATTCTAATTGAAATGAATAACATTATACATGCTGATTGACCATTCCCCAGTCAAGATTTGGTAAACTCCCCTCCCGTCCAGCTGACAATACTCAACGAAGATATGGATCTCAGCTTTGAAGTTGGTTAGTTTTGAAACAATACTGATCTAGCGATTCCCAGCGATTGTTTTATTGATTTAAAACATCAGATTCCCATCCACATTCCACAATTACAAGAGATCTCTTTAAGGAGGGTTCACCCTGATTTTTTGAGAAACTTGGACCGGTGACCGAACTTTTGAGGGGGTCCCGGACACCAACCGCCAAACGGTGCCCGCGGATTAGCCAGCTTTTGTAGGACTAAATCCTTACTTAAACCATAAACCAAAACCTCCAGCCATCTATTTCCCAGATTTCCACGTATTAAATGTATTTAAAGTAGTTGATATAATGCTGGTAAAGGGGTAAGTTGCTGTGTTTTTGTGAGCTGTTTTACTGATAACAAGACATATATATAATACTGAGTGTGGTGTAGTGTTTCAAGTTGGAACTAAAGAACTGAAACCACTTCAGGTACACTCCCAGACACACCGACATACGGAGAATTTAATACGCTCACCAGTAAGCTTAGTAGTTTAGTATCTAGAAAATAACTGTTATGTCTTACTTTGAGTGAACATAATTAATGATGATCAAACCTTAGAATTATATCAAAAACCCGACTTATAGTAGTAGTGATCTTTATTTCAGTATCTAAAAATAATGGCGTGTGAACTACCACCATGTATAGAATTAGATAACAAGTGAAATATTTTAGGAATTGTAATAAACCAGTAATATCATCCGTACACAGATATAGAAGAAGACCCAGCAGAATCTGACCATGCTAGTCTATGTGTAAGTGACTCCTCAAAGACAGAAACGGACGACCAGTTATCCGAATCGTTGGATCCATTTGACATGCAGCCTGACTCTCTTCCTTTGCAGCCTGAGTCCCTTCCTTCAACTGAATCTGCATCTCCAGATAACCTTCCCACACAACTAACTTTTACTGCAGCTGTCTGCTCTACCCAGTCTATACAACACCAGGCAGTTTTTACTGTCAGTAATACTGCAGATAACAATGAAAATAATGTGCCTCTAAAAGAAAGCAGTGTGCCTCTACAAGAAAACACTGTGGTTCAAAACGAAAAGACTGTGCCTCTAAAAGAAAGCATTGAGCCTCCAAAAGAAAACATTGTGTCTCAAGATGAGAAAGTTGACCCTGTAAAGGAATCTGTATTAGATGACAGATGTGAGTCATACGTGTTAATAGAACAGGACGTTAGAGAGGGAGCTACTAAAGATAGTGCACATGCAAAAGGTGGTGGAAGTGAAAATATCAGGGAGAATGAAGAGGAGAAGGAGAATAAATTGGAGCGTGGCGTGGTTCAGGAATTAATAGTAGATAATATCTCTGTCAAAACGGAGGAGGATGACCCTGCTTTTGACCCTTATGATTCAGGTAAATTATAAAGTTTGCAACCGATTAAAATTTGTATTTTCTCTTATATAAAATACCTCGAATTTGTGATAGAATATCATAGATCAATAACGCTCTTTTTATTTCCTACGAGAACGAAATAATGAAATTAAAACCGTCACATAATTTTGATTTTGATTTTCACATTATTGTGACACCATCGTGACATACATAACATAACTGCCACAACTAACTTGCAGAGGATTTGCCCCGAAGTTCGAGTGTCATATGTAAACCATACCCTCCTGCTGTAACACGTGTCATGAGCACTAAACGTGATCCCTCAAGGTTATTTACTAGTTTATCTTTATGAATACACCACCTTTACGCTTTTTGCTACTTTTTGCGTTATGATATTTGTACTTTGGTGCGAACTAGTAAGTTTTATTTTCACCATGTTTTAATGAAATTGAGACACTCTTATATCGTAACCTAGTAACTTTTCTCAGTGCCAAGCCTATTGTGATAGATCCCATCATCAAGCCTGTAAAGGGAAACACACCACCAAAAGAACCAGTTAAAATCACTAAAACCAGCAGTACAGTAAACACTCCTGACACCTCCTTTCCCTCACCCAAACCTCAAGATACACCCTCAACCCAAGCTACTGGTACTAGAGGTGAAGCTGTTATCTCAGTTCCTGCAACAACCCTCCCCAATCACCGTGTTATGAGTAACTCAGTGCCGACTACTTTACCGCCTACCTTACTACAGCGTAGTATGTCTATACCTGAGCGGTTACCTCCACTCGGGTCCCCGGGTTAGTAGCTTAATTACATTCCTGGGATTCCTTCACTCTGTGTGAGAATACATACAGTTGTGTTAATATCGACTGTATCGTGCCAAGATTTGTGTGTGCTGCTTTATTACTGATTCCAGTAACTGAACACAGTGAGCAAACCTTGACAGTTAGTTAATTCTGGCCCACCAGTTCAATCCTTTGATTTTTCATCCATATCACAAAAATGTTGTTGTGACTGATAACTTAACAGCATTATACCTGATACTGGTACGTGTGCTTGGAGTGTTTATCTGCTGCTTATAAAGGCTGAGATAAGAGCTCCAACTGGAAATGTGATATTCAATATTTCGCTATGTCTGATTTGTTGCTCATTCTCGCTAAAGCCGAAGTGAACCCCTGTTAGTCCATGATACTTTAACGTACTTTTATCAGTAGATAACAAATAGAATGATGGATAGAACTAATTACATCTTTGAGTAGTTTGTTAGTAATGTTTAGTGCATGCTTCAAACGTACGTGTTTTCAGTGAGGACTCAGTTTGACATTGACTTTGACGAGAATTCTGATGCTGTTTCAATATGTTCTGATATATCATCTGTCAGAGAGTACGCTGCGTAAGTCAGACTTCTAATATGACATGTGCATTGATACCGATTCATGCATTTTTCTTGTTAATGTAACTTTATTTTTGGTACCAATGATAATGGTGTCATGTTTGGCTCACTGACCTGACGCACTATAAAGCTATAAATGTGTTGATATTATGATTCCTCATATTTGGAGACATTTTGGAGACATTGTCTCCATGGGAATTTCATGGGAATTGGAGGGGAATTAGAGGGGAATTACGTATTATTGATATTTAAGCACCTAAATTAGCTGTATATGGCTTAACTGAGTTCTGGTCTGTCCCTCAAACAAACTAAGACCTTTCACATGCGAAAAGAAGAAAAAAAGGGGGGTGGCGAACCATATTTGCCAAAAAAAAATGTCAAAATTTTGTTTTCCATATTTCGCCCTAAAACGTCTCCAATGAGTTTGGTTGGCACCCTGGTTGATCTGGAAGTACGTTACCAGTTATTTGGGGCCTTCAGGGGCGAAAATGGGCCGAAAAATGGGCCGAAAAGGGGCATTTTCGGGTGTTTTCAAATTTGAGATTTCAAAGCCAGATTTTCGGCTTTAGTTGGCTGGGACATGCCCAAATTGGTGTGGGTGAGTTGCATAGAGGTAGTACAAGTGTGATCCGTTGCAGAAATCCGGGTTCCCAAGATTCAAAATGACTTGAAAAGATTTTGTAAAAAATTGGAGACATTTTGGAATCCATGGGAATTTTTTGGAGACATCCATATTTCGCCCTAAAACGTCTCCGATGAGTTTGGTTGGCACCCTGGTTGATCTGGAAGTACGTTACCAGTTATTTGGGGCCTTCAGGGGCGAAAATGGGCCGAAAAATGGGCCGAAAAGGGGCATTTTCGGATGTTTTCAAATTTGAGATTTCAAAGCCAGATTTTCGGCTTTAGTTGGCTGGGACATGCCCAAATTGGTGTGGGTGAGTTGCATAGAGGTAGTACAAGTGTGATCCGTTGCAGAAATCCGGGTTCCCAAGATTCAAAATGACTTGAAAAGATTTTGTAAAAAATTGGAGACATTTTGGAATCCATGGGAATTTTTTGGAGACATCCATATTTCGCCCTAAAACGTCTCCGATGAGTTTGGTTGGCACCCTGGTTGATCTGGAAGTACGTTACCAGTTATTTGGGGCCTTCAGGGGCGAAAATGGGCCGAAAAATGGGCCGAAAAGGGGCATTTTCGGGTGTTTTCAAATTTGAGATTTCAAAGCCAGATTTTCGGCTTTAGTTGGCTGGGACATGCCCAAATTGGTGTGGGTGAGTTGCATAGAGGTAGTACAAGTGTGATCCGTTGCAGAAATCCGGGTTCCCAAGATTCAAAATGACTTGAAAAGATTTTGTAAAAAATTGGAGACATTTTGGAATCCATGGGAATTTTTTGGAGACATCCATATTTCGCCCTAAAACGTCTCCAATGAGTTTGGTTGGCACCCTGGTTGATCTGGAAGTACGTTACCAGTTATTTGGGGCCTTCAGGGGCGAAAATGGGCCGAAAAATGGGCCGAAAAATGGGCCGAAAAGGGGCATTTTCGGGTGTTTTCAAATTTGAGATTTCAAAGCCAGATTTTCGGCTTTAGTTGGCTGGGACATGCCCAAATTGGTGTGGGTGAGTTGCATAGAGGTAGTACAAGTGTGATCCGTTGCAGAAATCCGGGTTCCCAAGATTCAAAATGACTTGAAAACATTTTGTAAAAAATTGGAGACATTTTGGAATCCATGGGAATTTTTTGGAGACATCCATATTTCGCCCTAAAACGTCTCCGATGAGTTTGGTTGGCACCCTGGTTGATCTGGAAGTACGTTACCAGTTATTTGGGGCCTTCAGGGGCGAAAATGGGCCGAAAAATGGGCCGAAAAGGGGCATTTTCGGGTGTTTTCAAATTTGAGATTTCAAAGCCAGATTTTCGGCTTTAGTTGGCTGGGACATGCCCAAATTGGTGTGGGTGAGTTGCATAGAGGTAGTACAAGTGTGATCCGTTGCAGAAATCCGGGTTCCCAAGATTCAAAATGACTTGAAAAGATTTTGTAAAAAATTGGAGACATTTTGGAATCCATGGGAATTTTTTGGAGACATCCATATTTCGCCCTAAAACGTCTCCAATGAGTTTGGTTGGCACCCTGGTTGATCTGGAAGTACGTTACCAGTTATTTGGGGCCTTCAGGGGCGAAAATGGGCCGAAAAATGGGCCGAAAAGGGGCATTTTCGGGTGTTTTCAAATTTGAGATTTCAAAGCCAGATTTTCGGCTTTAGTTGGCTGGGACATGCCCAAATTGGTGTGGGTGAGTTGCATAGAGGTAGTACAAGTGTGATCCGTTGCAGAAATCCGGGTTCCCAAGATTCAAAATGACTTGAAAAGATTTTGTAAAAAATTGGAGACATTTTGGAATCCATGGGAATTTTTTGGAGACATCCATATTTCGCCCTAAAACGTCTCCAATGAGTTTGGTTGGCACCCTGGTTGATCTGGAAGTACGTTACCAGTTATTTGGGGCCTTCAGGGGCGAAAATGGGCCGAAAAATGGGCCGAAAAGGGGCATTTTCGGGTGTTTTCAAATTTGAGATTTCAAAGCCAGATTTTCGGCTTTAGTTGGCTGGGACATGCCCAAATTGGTGTGGGTGAGTTGCATAGAGGTAGTACAAGTGTGATCCGTTACAGAAATCCGGGTTCCCAAGATTCAAAATGACTTGAAAAGATTTTGTAAAAAATTGGAGACATTTTGGAATCCATGGGAATTTTTTGGAGACATCCATATTTCGCCCTAAAACGTCTCCAATGAGTTTGGTTGGCACCCTGGTTGATCTGGAAGTACGTTACCAGTTATTTGGGGCCTTCAGGGGCGAAAATGGGCCGAAAAGGGGCATTTTCGGGTGTTTTCAAATTTGAGATTTCAAAGCCAGATTTTCGGCTTTAGTTGGCTGGGACATGCCCAAATTGGTGTGGGTGAGTTGCATAGAGGTAGTACAAGTGTGATCCGTTACAGAAATCCGGGTTCCCAAGATTCAAAATGACTTGAAAAGATTTTGTAAAAAATTGGAGACATTTTGGAATCCATGGGAATTTTTTGGAGACATCCATATTTCGCCCTAAAACGTCTCCAATGAGTTTGGTTGGCACCCTGGTTGATCTGGAAGTACGTTACCAGTTATTTGGGGCCTTCAGGGGGGAAAATGGGCCGAAAAATGGGCCGAAAAGGGGCATTTTCGGGTGTTTTCAAATTTGAGATTTCAAAGCCAGATTTTCGGCTTTAGTTGGCTGGGACATGCCCAAATTGGTGTGGGTGAGTTGCATAGAGGTAGTACAAGTGTGATCCGTTGCAGAAATCCGGGTTCCCAAGATTCAAAAAGACTTGAAAAGATTTTGTAAAAAATTGGAGAAATTTTGGAATCCATGGGAATTTTTTGGAGACATCCATATTTCGCCCTAAAACGTCTCCGATGAGTTTGGTTGGCACCCTGGTTGATCTGGAAGTACGTTACCAGTTATTTGGGGCCTTCAGGGGCGAAAATGGGCCGAAAAATGGGCCGAAAAGGGGCATTTTCGGGTGTTTTCAAATTTGAGATTTCAAAGCCAGATTTTCGGCTTTAGTTGGCTGGGACATGCCCAAATTGGTGTGGGTGAGTTGCATAGAGGTAGTACAAGTGTGATCCGTTGCAGAAATCCGGGTTCCCAAGATTCAAAATGACTTGAAAAGATTTTGTAAAAAATTGGAGACATTTTGGAATCCATGGGAATTTTTTGGAGACATCCATATTTCGCCCTAAAACGTCTCCGATGAGTTTGGTTGGCACCCTAGTTGATCTGGAAGTACGTTACCAGTTATTTGGGGCCTTCAGGGGGAAAATGGGCCGAAAAATGGGCCGAAAAGGGGCATTTTCGGGTGTTTTCAAATTTGAGATTTCAAAGCCAGATTTTCGGCTTTAGTTGGCTGGGACATGCCCAAATTGGTGTGGGTGAGTTGCATAGAGGTAGTACAAGTGTGATCCGTTGCAGAAATCCGGGTTCCCAAGATTCAAAATGACTTGAAAAGATTTTGTAAAAAATTGGAGACATTTTGGAATCCATGGGAATTTTTTGGAGACATCCATATTTCGCCCTAAAACGTCTCCAATGAGTTTGGTTGGCACCCTGGTTGATCTGGAAGTACGTTACCAGTTATTTGGGGCCTTCAGGGGGGAAAATGGGCCGAAAAATGGGCCGAAAAGGGGCATTTTCGGGTGTTTTCAAATTTGAGATTTCAAAGCCAGATTTTCGGCTTTAGTTGGCTGGGCTCTGGGACATGCCCAAATTGGTGTGGGTGAGTTGCATAGAGGTAGTACAAGTGTGATCCGTTGCAGAAATCCGGGTTCCCAAGATTCAAAATGACTTGAAAAGATTTTGTAAAAAATTGGAGACATTTTGGAATCCATGGGAATTTTTTGGAGACATCCATATTTCGCCCTAAAACGTCTCCGATGAGTTTGGTTGGCACCCTGGTTGATCTGGAAGTACGTTACCAGTTATTTGGGGCCTTCAGGGGCGAAAATGGGCCGAAAAATGGGCCGAAAGGGGCATTTTCGGGTGTTTTCAAATTTGAGATTTCAAAGCCAGATTTTCGGCTTTAGTTGGCTGGGACATGCCCAAATTGGTGTGGGTGAGTTGCATAGAGGTAGTACAAGTGTGATCCGTTGCAGAAATTCGGGTTCCCAAGATTCAAAATGACTTGAAAAGATTTTATAAAAAATTGGAGACATTTTGGAATCCATGGGAATTTTTTGGAGACATCCATATTTCGCCCTAAAACGTCTCCAATGAGTTTGGTTGGCACCCTGGTTGATCTGGAAGTACGTTACCAGTTATTTGGGGCCTTCAGGGGCGAAAATGGGCCGAAAAATGGGCCGAAAAGGGGCATTTTCGGGTGTTTTCAAATTTGAGATTTCAAAGCCAGATTTTCGGCTTTAGTTGGCTGGGACATGCCCAAATTGGTGTGGGTGAGTTGCATAGAGGTAGTACAAGTGTGATCCGTTGCAGAAATCCGGATTCCCAAGATTCAAAATGACTTGAAAAGATTTTGTAAAAAATTGGAGACATTTTGGAATCCATGGGAATTTTTTGGAGACATCCATATTTCGCCCTAAAACGTCTCCGATGAGTTTGGTTGGCACCCTGGTTGATCCGGAAGTACGTTACCAGTTATTTGGGGCCTTCAGGGGCGAAAATGGGCCGAAAAATGGGCCGAAAGGGGCATTTTCGGGTGTTTTCAAATTTGAGATTTCAAAGCCAGATTTTCGGCTTTAGTTGGCTGGGACATGCCCAAATTGGTGTGGGTGAGTTGCATAGAGGTAGTACAAGTGTGATCCGTTGCAGAAATCCGGATTCCCAAGATTCAAAATGACTTGAAAAGATTTTGTAAAAAATTGGAGACATTTTGGAATCCATGGGAATTTTTTGGATACATCCATATTTCGCCCTAAAACGTCTCCGATGAGTTTGGTTGGCACCCTGGTTGATCCGGAAGTACGTTACCAGTTATTTGGGGCCTTCAGGGGCGAAAATGGGCCGAAAAATGGGCCGAAAGGGGCATTTTCGGGTGTTTTCAAATTTGAGATTTCAAAGCCAGATTTTCGGCTTTAGTTGGCTGGGACATGCCCAAATTGGTGTGGGTGAGTTGCATAGAGGTAGTACAAGTGTGATCCGTTGCAGAAATTCGGGTTCCCAAGATTCAAAATGACTTGAAAAGATTTTGTAAAAAATTGGAGACATTTTGGAATCCATGGGAATTTTTTGGAGACATCCATATTTCGCCCTAAAACGTCTCCAATGAGTTTGGTTGGCACCCTGGTTGATCTGGAAGTACGTTACCAGTTATTTGGGGCCTTCAGGGGCGAAAATGGGCCGAAAAATGGGCCAAAAGGGGGCATTTTCGGGTGTTTTCAAATTTGAGATTTCAAAGCCAGATTTTCGGCTTTAGTTGGCTGGGACATGCCCAAATTGGTGTGGGTGAGTTGCATAGAGGTAGTACAAGTGTGATCCGTTGCAGAAATCCGGATTCCCAAGATTCAAAATGACTTGAAAAGATTTTGTAAAAAATTGGAGACATTTTGGAATCCATGGGAATTTTTTGGATACATCCATATTTCGCCCTAAAACGTCTCCGATGAGTTTGGTTGGCACCCTGGTTGATCCGGAAGTACGTTACCAGTTATTTGGGGCCTTCAGGGGCGAAAATGGGCCGAAAAATGGGCCGAAAGGGGCATTTTCGGGTGTTTTCAAATTTGAGATTTCAAAGCCAGATTTTCGGCTTTAGTTGGCTGGGACATGCCCAAATTGGTGTGGGTGAGTTGCATAGAGGTAGTACAAGTGTGATCCGTTGCAGAAATTCGGGTTCCCAAGATTCAAAATGACTTGAAAAGATTTTGTAAAAAATTGGAGACATTTTGGAATCCATGGGAATTTTTTGGAGACATCCATATTTCGCCCTAAAACGTCTCCAATGAGTTTGGTTGGCACCCTGGTTGATCTGGAAGTACGTTACCAGTTATTTGGGGCCTTCAGGGGCGAAAATGGGCCGAAAAATGGGCCAAAAGGGGGCATTTTCGGGTGTTTTCAAATTTGAGATTTCAAAGCCAGATTTTCGGCTTTAGTTGGCTGGGACATGCCAAAATTGGTATGGGTGAGTTGCATAGAGGTAGTACAAGTAACTGGTAACGTTCTTCCAGATCAACCAGGGTGCCAACCAAAATCATTGGAGACGTTTTAGGGCGAAATATGGATGTCTCCAAAAAATTCCCATGGATTCCAAAATGTCTCCAATTTTTTACAAAATCTTTTCAAGTCATTTTGAATCTTGGGAACCCGGATTTCTGCAACGGATCACACTTGTACTACCTCTATGCAACTCACCCACACCAATTTGGGCATGTCCCAGCCAACTAAAGCCGAAAATCTGGCTTTGAAATCTCAAATTTGAAAACACCCGAAAATGCCACTTTTCGGCCCATTTTTCGGCCCATTTTCGCCCCTGAAGGCCCCAAATAACTGGTAACGTACTTCCAGATCAACCAGGGTGCCAACCAAACTCATTGGAGACGTTTTAAGGCGAAATATGGATGTCTCCAAAAAATTCCCATGGATTCCAAAATGTCTCCAATTTTTTACAAAATCTTTTCAAGTCATTTTGAATCTTGGGAACCCGGATTTCTGCAACGGATCACACTTGTACTACCTCTATGCAACTCACCCACACCAATTTGGGCATGTCCCAGCCAACTAAAGCCGAAAATCTGGCTTTGAAATCTCAAATTTGAAAACACCCGAAAATGCCCCTTTTCGGCCCATTTTTCGGCCCATTTTCCCCCCTGAAGGCCCCAAATAACTGGTAACGTACTTCCAGATCAACTAGGGTGCCAACCAAACTCATCGGAGACGTTTTAGGGCGAAATATGGATGTCTCCAAAAAATTCCCATGGATTCCAAAATGTCTCCAATTTTTTACAAAATCTTTTCAAGTCATTTTGAATCTTGGGAACCCGGATTTCTGCAACGGATCACACTTGTACTACCTCTATGCAACTCACCCACACCAATTTGGGCATGTCCCAGCCAACTAAAGCCGAAAATCTGGCTTTGAAATCTCAAATTTGAAAACACCCGAAAATGCCCCTTTTCGGCCCATTTTACGGCCCATTTTCGCCCCTGAAGGCCCCAAATAACTGGTAACGTACTTCCAGATCAACCAGGGTGCCAACCAAACTCATTGGAGACGTTTTAGGGCGAAATATGGATGTCTCCAAAAAATTCCCATGGATTCCAAAATGTCTCCAATTTTTTACAAAATCTTTTCAAGTCATTTTGAATCTTGGGAACCCGGATTTCTGCAACGGATCACACTTGTACTACCTCTATGCAACTCACCCACACCAATTTGGGCATGTCCCAGCCAACTAAAGCCGAAAATCTGGCTTTGAAATCTCAAATTTGAAAACACCCGAAAATGCCCCTTTTCGGCCCATTTTTCGGCCCATTTTCGCCCCTGAAGGCCCCAAATAACTGGTAACGTACTTCCAGATCAACCAGGGTGCCAACCAAACTCATCGGAGACGTTTTAGGGCGAAATATGGATGTCTCCAAAAAATTCCCATGGATTCCAAAATGTCTCCAATTTTTTACAAAATCTTTTCAAGTCATTTTGAATCTTGGGAACCCGGATTTCTGCAACGGATCACACTTGTACTACCTCTATGCAACTCACCCACACCAATTTGGGCATGTCCCAGCCAACTAAAGCCGAAAATCTGGCTTTGAAATCTCAAATTTGAAAACACCCGAAAATGCCCCTTTTCGGCCCATTTTCCCCCCTGAAGGCCCCAAATACTTCCAGATCTACCAGGGTGTCAACTGTTAATGCCCTCCCTGGTCTATTAGGACAGTTAAAATTTCTTCTTATCTTGGAATTCCGGTTCCCAACGATGTTTTTCGATGAATTTCAGAATTTAAATTTTTGGCATATTTTATCTTCACCATCCTTTTTCACCGGTTCAAAAAACTTTCCTGTTATATTAGAACTGATAACTTGTAAGATAGATCAGTTTTAGGCTGTTTTGGGCGAAATCTGAAATTGAGAAAATGTCTCCATTTTGAGGAATCATTATATGAATGTGTTAGTTTTGGAGCGCGCTGAAACATTTTTATAGCAAAAGTGTCAAACAATACTGATAATTACACCAGGGCGCGCGCGCGTTCAAAAAGATCAATAAATGAACGCGCGATGCCATGTGCCCATAACATCATAACCCTGCAACAACAAAATAGGACGTTCTTCTGCGGCTGTTTCCTTGATATGTTGATATAGCTACACAAGCTTGTTTATAGAACCACTCCAATGCAAAAATTAGACCTTATTTTACATAACGGATAATGAAGATGTTTGGCTAGATGAATTTCCTGGGACATACTCCTCAGTCTTGTTTCCACACTTGTATTATCTTGATCGTGAAACTCTAGATAGTCGGCACGTACTCCATCCCATTACCGAAAGAACGCATCATTTGTTATTACATGATCAGCGATCGTTCCAAAATTCCTAGGAAGGCTGGAGGGTATCAAGATTAGATACAATTAATTTTGTTTCATAGAATCAAACTTTAGATTTCTTTAACTTGATTTATATTTTCAGGTCCTATAGATCCACGGGAGATGGGATGGATGTAAGTGAATGAGAAACTATTCCGTTAACTTAACTGTTTATATAACATTCAGCCGCTTTAATGCTGCCAACTACTTTCTATTGCTCAGTGCAGTATAACAGAGTGTATCTTTGATTTCATATATTCTTATATTGATCTAGCAAGTGTTACCCCCAACTCCTCCTTCTTCTCACAGTCCGTTTCTACGCTATCTGAGTCTCTAGGAATAGCTTACACAGCAGGAGAGCTCAGGAACGTGCTAACTAGCTTACTGCAACAGAAACAGGATATCGAAACACAAAACAGGTTTAATTTTCAAATCGTTAGCTTTATAATTTAGACGCGAGTTATCGTACTTGCGTGTACTAAGTTAATTGTGGCGCTATGATATGAGTCACCAAAAGTTTGGGTACTAATTTCGTCTTTTTAACAGAATAATTTTGTTGTTGAATTGGTAGTCTCTCTTAACATAAGTATCTCCATTAGACTTTCAATCACTATCGTAAAATGAAAATATCACTTAAAATCAAACAAGTCATATACATAATATTATCGTCCGTCAAAGAAATTAGAAGACTGAAAGTTTTTGGTGATTAAAGTTATTCTTCTCTTAATTTTAAGGATGTAGGCTCTCATAAGCAGGTCCGATATTAAGAGAGGCTATGATAAGAAGAAAAGTCGCACGATTTGCAGTGGCTTCCAGCACCTTGTCTACAACCTTGCAAAGGTCAAACAATTTGTCTAATAACTGTTGCCATAATTTTTGTTTATTGCTTACGAAATTTGGAAAAAGAAAACACGTCTGTTAATAAAGATGTTTTAAACAAATAAAGCAACCCTGACACGAACCATTGAAAAACAGCAAAAATATGACACGTATTGAATACGTTTCTTCGGTTACAACGCTGAAGTTACTGTTCAAAAAAGTCTATTATTCTATTAGTATTTCGGTGTTTCAATGATACTAACGATTGAATTCCCACAAATCAAATAAGCTTAAAATCATATAGTAATCAATAATCAACACATGAAATCTAAAAATCGTGTCCAAAGTACTTGGCCACTTTGAACAAGTAGCTAAGTACTGAGTCGCACTGGTGGATTTGAGGTCTTACGCTTTTTAGGCAGTAGTCATGCTACGGGAGAAGCGATATAGATGATAACCAGTGTTGACTTGTTGGAGTAGCTCGAAAGTATTCTTAAGTTAACAGGCTCAGTTAGGCCTGTTAGCTTTGCATTGAAATCCTAAGTGCAAACCAATGCTCAATTCTATACTTAGTATCAGATCGAGTTAACTCGTCAATTTTTTACGAAGCCAAAATAATTATGCACATAGTAATATATTCATACTTTACTGCGGATATAACACGCGTGTTATTGGAAGGTATAGATCGCATCTGTGCACTTCATCTGCACTAGATATCACATACATCAACAAGTCCAGATAATGTTAAGGGGACATATACAAAAAGCTTTTATGTCCTGAACATGCTGTTAACTTCATATTAAGAAAGTATACATCAAAACAATAAGATTTGATACATTAAAAATTATTTTTGAGGACCCGCACTTTCGAAAAAATAAATATTTTCTTTTTCGAAAGTTTTGAAAATTTTGAGAAGTCTGTCACTGTTATACCGATATTTCAGTCGTTTTTAACGTTTTTTGGCTGATTTTTTTACTGAACATTACTTACACTCCGTACAAGAAGTCCGTACAAGAAGTCCTAAGTTTTAAGGTATGAAATGTAGCCTAAACGTCTTAGTAAAATTCATCGTAAAAAAGGGCCAAACATGGCAGATTTAAGGCTTAAAATGCCTATAACTCAAAAAGTTTCAGTTTTTTTGAAATAATTTTTACAGGATCGTAATCAGCTTGGTAAGACGATTCGTCTTGGTAAGACGAATCTTTTATTTAGGCTACATTTCATACCTTAAAACTCAAAACTGAGAGAAATCCTGTTCCAAAAAGTTGGATATGATCATCAGCTACACTCACAAGAATTTTTAAAGCGATATCTCACGACCTGGGTGAATGGTAAAATATACAACTTTGATTTTTACAAAAATTAAAATTTTGCTTCTTTCGACCTTGTTTGGTCTGTAACTTCGTCATCTATATTTTAATTATAAAATCCTTTGGAGGACTTCTTGTACGGAGTGTAAGTAATGTTGTACGGAGTGTAAGTAATGTTCAGTAAAAAAACGTTAAAAACGACTGAAATATCGGTATAACAGTGACAGACTTCTCAAAATTTTCAAAACTTTCGAAAAAGAAAATATTTATTTTTTCGAAAGTGCGGGTCCTCAAAAATAATTTTTAATGTATCAAATCTTATTGTTTTGATGTATACTTTCTTAATATGAAGTTAACAGCATGTTCAGAACATAAAAGCTTTTTGTATATGTCCCCTTAAGTGATCCTGGGGTGCAATCACAATCACTGTCGTTTTTAGAATCTGACATGATGTATCAGATCACGTCACTATGACGTCACTGAACCCGTTAATCTGTGGGAACTGCAACTGATTACATCCGATACATTTTTTATTAAATACTTTTCAAATTTTACAGAGTACAGCAATAAATTAATATAAAATACAATCGTTCAAAATATTGCTCCCATCTATAAAATAAGATGGGCACCCAAACACGGTAAACTCATAGTGAACTATGTCCGCAATTACTTGGACCCAATACATCAAATTAATCTAAATCCAAAACTTTATGAAAAACTATTTTTAAGAACAAACAAATCAATGGTGAATAACTGCGGATATATAGATTGGTATTTCAATACGTCAAATTTCAGAAACATAAACGTACATAACGTATTCGATCCTCTAAAGAGTGCAAATTGTTGGCCCTTAGCCACTTCGGGGACAAAAAGCAGCAATGAGGCATAGTGTCTACAATTTGGATCACATTTTACAATGATTACCACCATCGTACACAGTACACTATAGTCTATACATTCAATTCCACAATATCACACATCAAGTATCAACTGTCTGAGGTGGAGAGGTCGTGCATAAGAACTTCCTGCATCAGAAATTCTTAGTTTATCCTAGCCCTTACTCTAACCCAAACTATGACCTTATTTCCAACCTAACCTGAGTCCCTCCTAGTGGCCTTCATCTCTTATACAACCACTGGATCATAATATATCGAAGGTACTGGGGCAAGACGGGAGTCATAATTTATGTACATAAAAGTAATATCTAATTGTGTACATATATGTCATATCCGCTCACTAAAACTTTTATACAGCTCTAGGTGGTTGTCATTTCTGATCGCGATACTAAAAACCGTTTAGAACCAAGATTTTCATAACCGGCGCTTTGAAGGAAAAGTTATGAATTTGTCTTGCTCTAAAAATAGTTTCGCTTTGTAATAATCCACTAGCACCTTTGTTTGTGTTCAGCCTGCAGTAGAGGCTTGATCTGATTCCTTTAAAGCTTTAAGCTGCTAAGCTTACAGAGGATTCGGCATACCACGATACAAATTCTTTGGCATAGTAAAACATATTCACTAAGCTTTTTGTTAATTCGTTGTATTTTAACCTAATGGAAAGCAAATTCCGTTTTCGACTTGACGTGATAGTTTTTTCAAAAATACGCGATTTTCTAGCCGAGTATTTCTAGCCGAGTTATGAAAGCCGATCATTTCACTTCAAAGCAAGCCGATTAAGTGCCAGTAATCGGCTCTAATCTACAGCTCAGTACAGGTGAACATATCAGAACTGTCTTCCGGTATTCCTTTCCGACTCTGTGGCCTGTCAGACTTAATCCCCTCCAGGTCCAGTGTGTCGTCCTCATCCTCCTCTCCCTCGCAAGTAGCTACTTGTGACACGTACTTCTCCTTAACTACAGTCTCCATCTCTCTGATGGTCTCATCACCTTCACACGCGGTCACTTGGGACGTCACAGCGTACTTCTCCTTAGCTGCTGCATCCAGATCTGCTGTCATGTCTGCTACTTGGTAAACCCGGCCACGTTTCTTGGGGTTGGTATCTCCTCCTCCCCCCGTCATCTTAGTAGTGTTCCCTTTGAGGTCACTCCGTCTACAAGCCAGGGTCAGGTATACAAGTGGGTCTGTTACGCAACTCACGTACACGTTTATCATGGTCATCTGGAGCAGGTAGAGGTAGGTCCTTCTTGCTCCCACTATCGACAGCAGAGAGTTCAGGCCCATCAATGTCAGCAGCTGAAATTGAAATCACCTTTAATTCTGGGAAATTCATCAATGTTTCTGACTACCACTACCAGCACAATCTGCCGCATCCACTCCCGACAGTCGTTTAGATATGATTAATATCTGAATAACCAGATAAACCATATACTAAGAACCAATGTCTGAGCAGTGCACACCTTGTCCCATACCGACCTATTAATCTTATTTAAGTTGGTTTGCGTATGTGACAGGCAATCAATCTCCGTCTTAAATTTATCTAATGTGGTTCAGTGTGGTTAACGAATAGCTCGAGGTCCGATTTGTTAAGCAATTTTAGAAAAATCGCAAATTAGAACTTGCACAAGACTGAGTTGCAATAAGCTATATCATGTATATGAAACGCTGTGGATGCGGGAAATTTAACGGTCGCCCACAAAATAAATACAGTCGCATTTCTTGTTAGAATTTAGAAATACCGAAAAAATATGGCAAACACAGCCATTACCTGTCCGATGGCGAAGTTCTTAATTAGTAAAGTAATCATTTAATCAATTAACTGCAAGATGGTGAAATTGAGAATTAGTAAAGTGATGACTTATTTATTACCTGCCAGATGGTGAAATTGAGAATTAGTAGAATGATGACTTAATTAATTACCTGCCAGATGGTGAAGGTCCACCACCAGAGATATGTTAGGGAGAAGGAGAATATTAGGACCAGCAGTGTTTTGGTAGCTTTCGTCATTATGGGTGTTGCGAAACTACACGATATCTTTCCTGTAAAAAACACGCGATTATACAAATTATTAATGTCATCATGTTACTTCTCTCGTATTCATAATGTTAAGTCCATACGTTTGCTAAAATGAAAGAAATGATACTGTTTAAGGACGCGGACGTGATAGCTGTGTAAATCCTCTTATTTCAGATTCAGTGTTTTTGTAGTATTTTTGAAATCGGAGCTCGTCTTATAAGTTAAGTATCAAGGGACCAGCTTTTCAATTCAATTAAAATAGTGCCTCTCTTTCTGCTGCTCCTCATGGAATATACAATAAATTCAATAATTAAAATATTATCGCAATGGAGATGTACGCAATGGAGGAGCATTTATACCTTAGCGGGGGAGCTAGCTGATCTGTCAAATCCGTGTTTTCCAAGAAATTAGCCAAATAAAAAACTACGAAGCTGCCAGTTACCTGGCATCACCCACTCATGATGCTTCACCAAGCTCACATGTAAGCGAGGAAGTAGAAATTTATGCATTTCCGCACGAGAAGGCGATCACAGCAACCAACAATTAATAAAAATTTGCGAGACACTTCGCACAACATGCGGCTGGTTAAGGATAGTAATGGGAGAATAATCTCCTTCTCCCTCCCCCCTCCTTCTCTCTCCATCTCCCTCTCTCCTCTCCTTCTCTCCCCCTCCTTTTCTCCCCCTCCTTTTCTCTCCATTTTCTTTTCCCCCTCCTTTTCTCTCCTCTATCCCTCTCCTTCTCTCCCCCTCCTTTTTTCTCACTCTCCTTCTCTCCCTCTCCTTCTCTCCCCCTCCTTTTCTCTCCCTCTCCTCTCTCCCTCTCATTCTCTCCCCCTCCTTTTCTCTTCCTCTCCTCTCTCCATCTCCTCTCTCCCCCTCCTTTTCTCTCCTTCTCCTTCTCTCCCCCTCTTTTTCTCGTCCTCTCTTGTTATCCCGTATCTGCTATCTTCCCTTACCATTGATTCTGTTAGTCCTCTGTTGTCTTGCTTTGTTTCTGTGTAGTAGGAACATCTTGACGAGGGTAACAAAGAGCAGCAGGATGATGGAGAGACCAGGGACTGTGGTTGGTAGGATAATCAGCAGAACGTACGGTGGAATCCAGTTTGTTAGTACCGCTGAAAGGAAACTTTGGTTATTATACTTTAGGAAATTAGGAACTCATTATCTTATGAGAAATATTTGCTGTTTTTTAAAAGAAAGTATCGTGAAAGAGTCACCAAAATATTTAGATAACTTAATTAAACATTTCAAATTACTTGGGTCGTTGACAGTGAGGACGTGATCGATCTTGTAAGTACACAAACAATCATTCTCGCTGAACAGGTACTCGTTACCCTTTATAAAGGGAAGTAAAGATAACAGCGCTGGTACTGTCCAGATTGCAGCTGAAATGAGTATTTTATAGTGTACTGATTTAGAATTGGTCAGCCAATCAAAATACACTTAAAAATCGATCCAATCATTACCGGGCCACTTATAATCGATTTGAAGATCAGAATACGTTTAAAGAAGTATATTAAAAGTTCCTAACATTTCCAGTGTAAATACCGTAAGGCCCTTCATAATTTTGATCAGAGATCTCAACCGCCAATTCAATATGGTTATACTATCTTACTACATAGTATTACCATAGTATTAATTATCAGTAGAAGTAGTAGTAAGATAGTAGTAGTAAGTATAGTAGTACTAGTAGTAGTAAGTATAGTAGTAGTAAGTATAGTAGTAGTAAGATAGTAGTAGTAAGTATAGTAGTACTAGTAGTAGTAAGTATAGTAGTAGTAAGTATAGTAGTACTAGTAGTAGCAAGATAGTAGTAGTAAGTATAGTAGTAGTAAGATAGTAGTAGTAAGTATAGTAGTACTAGTAGTAGTAAGATAGTAGTAGTAAGTATAGTAGTACTAGTAGTAGTAAGTATAGTAGTACTAGTAGTAGTAGTAGTAAGTATAGTAGTAGTATTGCCCCACATACCTATCATGCAGTAAGAGCGCTCCTTGTTAAAGGTCCTCCTGTACTGGAAGGGTCGAGCCATGGCGTACAGCCTCCCCACTGCCATTAACAATACCACGTATAGTGATGCACGTGACGCAAAGTTGTGGATAAATCCCGTTACGTTGCACAGCAGTCTGCCTGAACACGTGCGTTAGTTTGATTAGGAGTTGGCATGTGCTTGACTTTAAGGTAAATTTAAATTTAACAGAATTGAACTGTCAGTATAGACGGGGAAATACGATAATGTTGCAGTCTACTCTAAATAGTTTAAATAGCTTAAATAGCTGGGTAATTATTGGAACGCCTGTAGAAAACAGTCAATAGTTAATAGTAAGCGCCATTAGATCAGGCAGTTTAGTTATTTAAAAGTTTGCAGTTATGGCAGTAACACGTTCCCATGAATTTAAATGGTTATTTCAGATTTGGCGAAATTTCGGAGAAATTGGCACGAACGATTTATATAATATGTGATTAAACTATTTACTGCCAAAACAAAACTCTTCCTGAAGTATTTTACCAAATTTCAAATTCAGAGAATATATTATATACATATTTTAACACTCCTTATTTTAGGTTGAGGCGAAGTTTTGGAGAAATTCGTTTATATTCACGTACGAGCTATTATATAAAACATTATTTAACTATTTACTTGCAAAATATAACTCTCCCTGGAGTATTTACTATTTTACCTCTATAGAAGTCATTGAATTGGATATAGAATTATCAAATTAAAAAATATATATAAAGTACGAATTTGAATCACGAGGATAGGCCAGTTGATTGGTAGGTATTACGTACTTTCTTAAGATGCACTAGTATTGCTAGGTAACGTACTTTCTAAAGATGCACTAGATTGATAGGTAACGTACTTTCTTAAGATGCACTAGATTGCTAGGTAACGTACTTTCTTAAGATGCACTAGATTGCTAGGTAACGTACTTTCTAAAGATGCACTAGTATCCCACTGCCTCCCCTTTAAAAGTGTCATTATCATTATAGGGACACTAAAGAGTAGTGTAAGAACGTCCACCACTGTCAGTATTGAGAAGTAGAAGACTGTCGCACTGAATCCTTGCCTTTTCAGAATCTGAAAAATTAAGTTTAGTTTTAGAGAGTACTGTAAAATCAAAATTCCTAAACCCAAGAATTCACGTAGCTGTTTTAATCACACATTTACTACTTACCCCGTCGAGAATATATTATGCATGAATGTAGCGGTGAAAATATAATGACCTTCCTTTATTTAAGTTATCTCATATGACATATTATAATCATATGAGGGGTGTTGGCATTACCAGACAGTGGTTGTGTAAGACAATGAAACCATGGTAACCACGTGATTTGTTTAAGAAACCACGTGTTTTATTTGAACATGTACATTCCACGTGGTCCCAGATACAGTATATCAATGTAAGGTATTGAGAGTGTCTGAGCCAGATAAATGAGATTGATCATTAGACCATATAGTTTAGAACGACAGCTTCACACGGCGACTGATACTGGCCATTGTCATTTTATAAGTCTTAGCTTTCGCCTTTACTGATATATTATGTTGCCTAAATGTGCACATAATTCATCCGCGCACAGAGTTTTAGTTTCTCAAAGGCAATCCCGATTTGAATATTTCGTCATTGGCAACTGTTCCGGAGTTTTGAGGTTGACATAGATTTTTGATTCCAGTTCTTGAAACGTTTTTCTATTTTAGAATTTGTAAAAGATTCATGGTCCACCTATAGCTCGCAGTTATCACTACATCCTGCTACAAGACGATTACTGTATAACCACACTCCGATACCTTGCCCAGGATGGAGAAGTACCACCTAATAACAGGTTCCACAACCTGCTTCACCAACAGGTCCTTTGAAGCCTGTAAAGAAGTAGAAGAGCCTCTGCAAATGTTCGATGTAGCCATCACTGGGGTACTCTCCGTCCTCCTCTTTTGCTCCATAGCGGGTAACTGGATAGTAAACAACATCTTCAGAGTGTACACCGTGGTTAAAAAGGAGGGCAGTGTGTCTCACTTGTGTCTCTCTCACATGGCAGCCTCTGATCTGGTGTATAGTTGCTTTGTCACACCTCTAACCCTGGCTGTACTTATGACGGGGAATAGATTTGCTATTGATCCTGTGAACGATGGCAAGCTGACAATGCCTATCATTCAGGTTTGAGATGATTTTATAGTGTTGTTATCAGGTTTGAGGTGGTTTTATAGTGTTGTTATCAGGTTTGAGGTGGTTTTATAGTGTTGTTATCAGGTTTGAGGTGGTTTTTTTAGTGTTGTTATCAGGTTTGAGGTGGTTTTATAGTGTTGTTATCAGGTTTGAGATGATTTTATAGTGTTGTTATCAGGTTTGAGGTGGTTTTATAGTGTTGTTATCAGGTTTGAGATGATTTTATAGTGTTGTTATCAGGTTTGAGATGATTTTATAGTGTTGTTATCAGGTTTGAGGTGGTTTTATAGTGTTGTTATCAGGTTTGAGGTGGTTTTATAGTGTTGTTATCAGGTTTGAGGTGGTTTTATAGTGTTGTTATCAGGTTTGAGGTGGTTTTATAGTGTTGTTATCAGGTTTGAGGTGGTTTTATAGTGTTGTTATCAGGTTTGAGGTGGTTTTATAGTGTTGTTATCAGGTTTGAGGTGGTTTTATAGTGTTGTTATCAGGTTTGAGGTGGTTTTATAGTGTTGTTATCAGGTTTGAGGTGGTTTTATAGTGTTGTTATCAGGTTTGAGGTGGTTTTATAGTGTTGTTATCAGGTTTGAGGTGGTTTTATAGTGTTGTTATCAGGTTTGAGGTGGTTTTATAGTGTTGTTATCAGGTTTGAGGTGGTTTTATAGTGTTGTTATCAGGTTTGAGATGATTTTATAGTGTTGTTATCAGGTTTGAGATGATTTTATAGTGTTGTTATCAGGTTTGAGGTGGTTTTATAGTGTTGTTATCAGGTTTGAGATGGTTTTATAGTGTTGTTATCAGGTTTGAGGTGGTTTTATAGTGTTGTTATCAGGTTTGGGATGATTTTATAGTGTTGTTATCAGGTTTGAGATGATTTTATAGTGTTGTTATCAGGTTTGAGGTGGTTTTATAGTGTTGTTATCAGGTTTGAGGTGGTTTTATAGTGTTGTTATCAGGTTTGGGATGATTTTATAGTGTTGTTATCAGGTTTGAGATGATTTTATAGCGTTGTTATCAGGTTTGAGGTGGTTTTATAGTGTTGTTATCAGGTTTGAGGTGGTTTTATAGTGTTGTTATCAGGTTTGAGATGATTTTATAGTGTTGTTATCAGGTTTGAGATGATTTTATAGTGTTGTTATCAGGTTTGAGGTGGTTTTATAGTGTTTGGTATTCGGGGGAGAAGCTGGTGTTACAATGATTCCTCTTAGCTGTTATAAGTTTTATAAGGGATGTAGGGTGTCAAATAAATATTTACAGGTAGTAGGATTTACCAGTGAAGTTACAAGAAGATCCTCACTTCTTTTCCTCACAATAGTGGCAGTAGACCAGATGGCTTTACTGTACCTTCCAACCATCCACAAGGCTCACTTCACCATGGTCTCTATCAAAACAGCAGTGGGTTCCTGCTGGGTAGCCTCCATTGTGTTTGGTATCATACCCTTCATGAGTAACAGCGAGTACAGTTTCGTGGCGGACATGGTGTCCCCTCAGTGGGATATGATCCAGATATTTTCCACCGTGAAGAAGAACCCTAAACCCAGAGCGGTTGTGGCTGAAGAGAACTACAAACAGATGACATGGACGTTCATACTGTGTGAGGCTATCCCCATCCTAGTTCCTGCTATCTTCCTGCTGCTCTCCAACATGGTTCTCATCCTCAGGATGGACTACAAGAAGAGAAGGGACCCTCAGCATAGCGAGTCTCCGGCTAAGAAAAAGTACGATCCTTTCTCTGTTTCTACCCGGGAGTTTGCTATGAGGATTGCTTCAAATCTTGGTACGTATAATGTCACACTCCTACCTATAGTATAGCTCTATATTCCAATTTTAATTATTGGATTATAATGATTTTGATGTATTTTAATCGTGAAGTTTCACTTTCTTATACCCTATTCTTCTTAGGGGACATTCCCACAATGACGGATACACAAAAGAAAGCAAAAGATCGTCATATGAACAATATGATCAGGTCTCTAGCTAACGCCTCCATCAACTCTCTCCGCCCCATCACCTCAGTCTACCTGCTCTGTAACTGCCTGTGGCTACTCTCAATCGGGTACAAATGGTCCAATATAGACAAGGATGAGCCTTATCAGATGTTTGGTTACCGTAGTTACATGCACGTGGTTAACCTCGTGCTTGTGCACGTGTCCATTGCCATGACACCCCTGCTTCATTTCCTGAGTTCTGGACAGATGCGGCAGGGATTGGTTGTTATGATGGCAGGGTATACCAGCGTCTCTGATTTCAAAAATTATACCGGCCTTCGGAAACGCTCTAAAACCAGCTTGAATCTCCGATAGTTTGAAGATGTTTAATCATGCTACCTGCTCAAACGAGTATTTACAAGCAAGTCTGACTTTAACACTTATCTTACACCTGACAAACTAAAAAGCGAATTTCCTGAGGATCTTAGTTGCCTCAAAATCGTAGAATAGCTTCGTGTATGAAATTGTCTACCCTTCTGGTTGATGGTTTTGGTGAACCCTAGTAACGCTTCCCGTAAATTAGAATTATAATAGTAACTACTGTGTGTTGTGATATCCCTTCGCATTACCTTTTCAAATACATGATGTGAAACAGTAAAAACTTGGCATTAGACAGGGTAGATCTTTAATTGCTTTAAAATGGGTTTGATTGACTGAAAGTCAAAACAATGAATGCAATATTTTATCTTGACTGAAATGTTTAAAAAGATTATTTCTACTCTTGTCTTGATGACATATCTGTATTACTGTTTTAGCGCCAAGCGTGCCTTCTCACGCTAGATTCACAACCATCGGACTCTTTACCAAAATAGCCTCCCCGGCCCCACTCTTCAAAACGAAAGATTTCTCACCGAGTATTGGAAGTATTGAGCGAAGCCGTTGAGAACGATCCCAGCTACCAGGAGAATGATGAGACCGACCGCTAAGCAGGTGTCTATATCTTTATCCCACACAGTGTCTGACATTGCTCCTAGAGAAGATGGAGAGTTAGAGTATCTATTACAACTAGAGTTAGAGTATCTATTACAAATAGAGTTAGAGTATCTATTACAAATAGAGTTAGAGTATCTATTACAACTAGAGTTAGAGTATCTATTACAACTAGAGTTAGAGTATCTATCTATATCACAGCTTTACAGAGCTAGATATATATCTTCTACAAAACTATTGTTTAGCTTTCCTCTGTTACGAAGTCGGGAAATGATAAATTTCTAATTTTGTTTCTGAAAACACTAAATTAATCATGTTGTCATTTAGAAAAAATCAGTAATTTTCTGGGAAGAGCCATCGAATGATACTCAATCACGGAATGAAATGAGGTATTTATATCCCGCTCATATGATTAACCAACACCACAAGGAAGGTGGTTAACCATGTCAGAGCGGGTGACTGTGAGTGATGTGAGCAAATGTGTAAAAGCGAACAAAGGTATAATTCATTATAATATGGCAAAGACAAAATTAAAACATCTTTTATTGTAAACCACACTAAACTAAGTATAAGCAGAAACCATACAATACAGATAGGTACATTATAGTAATATTGGAAAATAAATTTCAAAAGCTATTTGTCTAAGACACAAAATAAGTCATAGAATCTCTTTTCCTGATAAGAGCCTTTTCCTTGTCACACCAAACGAGTCACGAAATAGAAATTTAACCCAAGAAAACATTTCATCTATGCGACTCATAAATAATATTCCAATCCAGATTTTACATTAGTCAGAGACTGTGGAAATGGGACGTAAAATGTGGAAATGGTAAGCAAATCATAATGATCGTTTTTTTCTGGCCCACCCTGTAGATTGACTATTCGTCAACTTCCAAACCACTGTTCCAACCTCCTGTCAGACTACAGTACTAATATAATTAATACAGTACTAGTATAATTAATAACATTTTCAAGAAAATTTTTGTTTTTATGAATAGACTCAGTTCAGCGATGACGATGTTATAATGAAAGTAGGTAAATCACGATGCGACGTTCGTTGTCACATTCATATTCAGAAAAAATTAGAACCTTTCTCGGAAGAGCCATCAATTGAGACTCAATAACAGCAAACAGTGCACGACTGAAACAGATAAACCTTTATGAAACTGAATGCAAAGGAACGATGTTATAAATTATGGGGTCCTAATGCTTCAATGCAGCTATTGGTGAGTATCTCGACTAAGTCCCCGATCTGGTACCCTGAGTCGGACAGATACCGCTGTCGGACAGATGTCGCTGTCGGACAGGAGTCGTGTTACCCGCAAAAGCAAATATAACCATTAATTAATCATTGACAATTTAATTTCTGCGGAAATTGATAACGCGAAGGTCGTGGCTATTTTAAAATAAGATTTTAGCATTTTAACTACATGAAACAAACGGCATATCGCCGAAAACATTTAGATAAATTCTATAGTTGACATAATACATTCGGTGATCCTCAAACTCTACTAACTGTTTCTGGGGCCAATGGGTATTTTTTTGTGAAACTTGATTTCGAGATGGCAGTTGACCAACAAACTAGGACCAGTGACCGAACTTTTGAGGGGTCCCGGACCCCAACCGCCAAACGGTGCCCGCGGGGCAGCCACGCCCATATTTGGTCCAAATTTGGCCCAATTCAGCCAAATACCCTCGACATGCCCAAAAACCAGGTTTAAGGTGCTCTACTTGTAGCTAGTGGTCTCCAGAACTCGTATATGAAATTTCGTCAAGATTGGACAAAAAATGACTGAGTTATGAGCCAAAAACCATATGCCCATATTTGGGCATACGCACCAAATTTGGTAGATTTCGTCCCATAAATTGGTCAAATATCAATATTTTTGAATAAGACTTACTTTATATGAAAAGTAAGCCTAAACTGCATATTCTCTGTAAGTTATAGCTTTATATCAGTTTAAATGTGGATTTAAAAAAGAAAGAAAAAAAATACCCCAAAAAATGAACAAAATTGCCCGTATCTCCGTTCGCGACATTCGCAGAATTGATTTCATCAATTTTGAAATAACTCAATCAGTTTTCAAAATTTTTGCATGAAATTTTCGGAATCGACTCTCAATCGCTTTTCCACCTTATTATAGCAAGCCGATTTTTAATTTAGGCCTCTAAAAACATTTGGCGGCCAATTCTGAATTTTGCCGGGAAAATTTTGGAATTTGGCCGCCAAATTTGACAATAAAATACCCATTTGGAGATTGGTTGGCAGCCAAATCTAAAAAAGGCTGGGACCCAAAAATAAATAAGGTCCTATAGCGAATATACATTGATTATGAAAATGTTTAACCCTAAAATTACAGGCAGTTACAAGAGACACTGAATAGAGAAATGTTGACGCGAAGTTCGCTGAAAGAGGAGATTGGGCACATGCAGAGTACGTTCATACAGAGACAGAGCCACGATCAGGCAGTTATTAGAGGGTTACAGAGGTGAGCAGTTAATTATTATGACATCATCAATTATATTATCGTTTGGTTTATCAATTAAGTTATCGTTTGGTTATTTTCAATTATCAGATTATAATTATATTGGGACTTAACCTAGTTTCGTGTATAGTAGTAAGGCAAATTTTAACTTCACCTAACTCCATTTCAAAGAACTAGAAATTTGGCTCGATTTAAAGCCACTGATTTTACGATCATGCAAGCGCAAACCCTTTTAATGCCAGGCATGTCCAAAGTAATTAGCTTATAGACTAGAGGTTCACGCTATAAAAGAGGTTTAACTATAAATGAACCTTGGCGACTCTATGGTATAATCACGATTAACAAGAAGCTGAAAGTTAATGCCCTGTACATGCTGGAGGCTTCCTGTCTGGAAATACGCGTACTTTTCGCAACTCTGGTATTCCATTTAATTTACCACCCATTAATCTTCAACCTTTCAAGGCATTTATACCGTTCAACTCGACAACCAATCTTATAACAGCTTCCTAGGAGTAGGAACATATTATGGATACTACATATGAACATAAACCCATACATTTTTTTTATTAAATACTTTTCAAATTTTACAGAGTACAGCAATAGATGAATATAAAATAGAATCGTTCAAAATAACGCCCCCATCAGTAAAATATGATGGGCACCCAAACACGGTAAACACATAGTGAACTATGTCCGCAGTAACTTGGACCCATTACATCGAATTAATCTAAATCCAAAAATTTATGAAAAACTATTTAATAACAAACAAATCCATGGTGAATAACTGTGGATATAGAGTCAAAATTGGTATTTCAATACGTCAAATTCCAGATACATTAGATACAGGTCTGATATGGTCATTAATGTGTGAGAAGGTGTGCGGGTGAAGTTTGATGATGTTGAAAGTATAGGAAAGGTACATAACAAATTAATAAAACAAAAATAATAATATTATGGGGTGCAAAGTGACTAGGCTAGACTGTTGTTTCACTATCCAATAAACATTTCCATAGGTGCTTAGTGACCTCAGCTTTGAAAAGACTAGTAGACACAATCTGTCTTACCTGTAAAGGGAGTCCATTCCACAGTATATGGGTTCTGTAGAAAAATGATTTTGCCAGTGGGCTATTTGAGGTACATATGGTGTGTGAATTCTGACTTAACTTAGGTAAAATTGATGACACAATAGACAGACTGTCGAGGTGGCAACGACCAACGTCTTAGTCGAGAAGTGCCCTGATATAAAGAGAGATAGTGAGGCAGCGATACAGGAATTAAATTGTTCAGAACTTTGTGGAAAAAAATAAGATCATTCAAGTCAAACTTTTGAGACAAAGGGAGAATGTCGACAAGCTTGCACTTCTTGAATTATTGCTCAGGTGGATAACTGCGGCCCTCTTCAGACAGAATCCATTTAATAGCTTTCTTTTAAGTGATTTATTACAAGGGTGCCAGATTATGGAACAATTTTCGAATTGGCTACGAACCAGGGAGAGGTAAAGCGCCCGGCGACGTTTCTGATCAATGACAATATGGCCATTTCTTCTGACCATACCAAGTTGTTGGCAGGCCTTAATATAAATTCTGTCGCACTGACTATTCCAACTTAGCTTAGGAGTAACATCAACTCCAAGATCTTTTTCTAACTCTACATAGTACATACACAAGAGGAGAGCCATCAAGATTATATGCGAATGGAGGAGATAAAGATGGTTTTCCTGAAACAATAAGCACTTTACATTTTGCTGGATGGAATCGCATTTTGTTTCTTAGTGCCCAGTCAGAGAGATAGTCTATATCCATTTGCAAATTAGTATTATCAGAAGATGAATGTATTTTACGCCAGATTTTTGTATCATCGGCATACAAAATAATATCAGTATTATCCGAAAGGCCAAGAGGAATATCATTGATAAACAATACAAAAAGTAAGGGACCAAGGATAGAGCCCTGGGGGACACCAGAATTAACTGAGAGGGTAGATGAGATCTCATTACCAGTAACCACTATTTGGTAACGGCCTTGAAGGTAATTGGTAAGAAATTTGAGAAGTGTACCATCAATGTTATATAAGGTCTTTAGCTTATGAAGAAGGATATCATGATTTACAGAATCAAATGTCTTAGCAAAATCAAAATACACAACATGATTGATAATGTTTTCGTTAAGAGACAATGCCAGGCTATCACAAAAGTCAACCATATTGGTTGTGCATGACTTGTGCTCTAGAAAACCATGCTGCCTGCGATCAAGAAGGGTACTTGTCAAAGAAAGCAGTTTACGTTTAACAATGCGCTCAAAAACTTTCATGACTAAACAAGTAAGGGATATTGGTCTATAGTTTTCAACCTCACTTTTCTTACCTTTCTTAAATATTGGGACAACATTTGCAAGTTTCCATTCTTGTGGAATGTAGCCGCTGTTGTAGGATCCACGAAAAATGCATGTTAGAGGGTTAGCTAAACCTACGGAACAATGTTTTGAATTTTACCGTGTATGCCATCTGGTCCATGGGCTTTATTTGAATTGATATTTGAAAGAAGCTTACGAACATCCCGATGATCGAAGTCAATATAAAAATCAACATCATTGACATAGGAGATGTCAGTGTCATAAAGTGAAGGATCCGAAAATTGGTTATAAAAGAAAGAATTGAAAAGTTCAGCTTGATCTTTGGGTTTGAACCGAAGCTGTGAGTTTTCTGAATTAACTAGCAGTGAAAATAGCGTCCATTCAAATATTCACTTGTACAAAGTAGAAGTCCTAACCAACCCATGCAATAAATCAGACGGTTACACAGTACACACCGTGTGCGCTCTTCGAGAGCAGGACATTATATCGTGTACCCAGTACAATACCATATAGCCTCCTCTTGAACCAAACTAAATATTTCGCATATAATACGAAGCATACTGTCAATCGGCAGCTTTGACATTTTTTTATATATTGTTTCAATGTTGTGTTCATTATTTTGACCAAGTTTTGAATCAAATCAAGTTAATTGTGAATAGCATCAAGCTGGTCCACGTCAGTATGGTGCACGTCGCTATCATGGTGCACGTCAGTATGGTGCACGTCAGTATGGTGCACGTCAGTATGGTGCACGTCAGTAAAAGATTTGTGGATGGAAATTACAGGCAATCAAACTTTAATAAAATTATACTACTTTGAGAATAGAATCTGGACATAACGCCTTCTCCGGTGATTCGATAAGTCCATCATGGTGTACAGGATCAAAGGGGGAAATACTAGAAATCAAAGGTGGTGAACTATCCTAAATATTGACGATGAACACATTTCCATTTAAGAGCGTTAGAAATCGTTCACATTTTGCGTCTGCAGCAGCCGAAGGGAAGAGGGTTAAATGGGCGAAAATTGAAAAGCATTTCTTACTTCTCACCATAAGCAACCAGTAACAAAATGACCGGACAAATGATCGTTTCGAAAAGATATATTCAAACAAGTCAAAAGAGAGATAGTTCTAATGTACCGTCACAATAGTGACTTTAATATATAATCAAGAGTACTAGCCTGCTGATTTATCGCGGCTGTTCTCATCTGAAACTATGCTTGGTGTAGCTCGTTGGGATAGTATAGGAATTCTAGTTCCTATAATTGGGAATGAGGTAGTTGTCTGTTCACAGATCGCCCTCTAAACTTACAAGGAAATATTTCCTGTAGATCCTTGATATATAAGCAACATTTGACAGAGCATAGTGTGGATTGAGCTATGTGCCCATGGGCGAGAACCCGGTGGATGTCCTTGCTGTACGGCAGTGTTAAACAAGGAACTGAAACCGAGGGGTTCCGTTCAGGCCCTTCACACTTTGTTTCTGTCTAGTTCTAATGTACCGTCACAATAGTGACTTTAATATATATTCAAACGAAAGCACTTTATGGTAAACTTCCTTCCAGAGAGAATCAGATGTTAAAACAACAACTAAAGAAATACGTTACAGTCGTACAACAACTCCGTAGAGATGATCGTATCCCATCAGACCACGACCTCTCGTCAGGTAACTTCGACCTCACCTTGGTAGCTGATATTTTACTTGCATTATAATTTTTTTCTCGCGACATTTTTACCGCAGCTAAATGGTGCATCTGATCATTTTTGAGGGCAATTTTCAAGGCGAGAATTTTTGGCAGGAGTTGAAAGGCTCCGCAAAAATCAAGCTATGGCTGGCTCAATTTAGTTAACGCTGCCTACAAATGATCTGAAGATGGCACCCGTCGCCAATGTCTGGTTTGTGATAAACCCGTTTAAATACCGTGAATTAGATATCAGTTTTAAACAACAATGAACGGTTTTGTTTCAAAATTATTCAGTCCTTTTTTTTTTTGGTTTTGATTTTGGTTTATAGAGCTACACGCCACATATGTCCAGGTTCATTATAATATATAATGTAGGACTTCTAGGCAATGTGCTTGGTTGTGGGACACACTCAACTAGGGAAGTTGAGAGGCCTCAAATCAAGTCTCATTAAAGAGATATCAACAGAGTGTGAGCCACTGCCAGACTAACCTGTGATTAGAGTTTGCCAGGCTCTATGAGTGTGGCAGAGAGTGTCTTCTTTGTCCTATCCTTTGTTCGTGATGCTGATAACAGACTCTTGTTGTAGGTGGTGGTGACAAAAACTCATTTGCATGATTGGGTCTAGAGATGGGTCGATCTCAGTACCGTAATTATAAAACCATTATCTGAGAACTTGTCTCAACATAGAAGATCTAAATGACATTAGGTCTAAACTGGGTCGATTGAAAAGTGAGCTACAGATTAGCGGCTGGGAAAAACAAAGGGATGGAGATTAGTGATTAACTATGCACTATGCAGGTAATCAGTACCTAGGTGCTGAGTGAACGTTTGGCAGACCGTAAAATCCGAAATAAAAACTGTTAATGATTTAAACATCCTAGAATTAAGTGCCACAACCATGAGGTTATAAAGTCAAGAGGGTCTAAAATGGATCTAATTGTATAATGTGCTACCGAGAAAAGTACTTAGCAAAGTACCATGAGGTAATTAAGCTACTATAAGGGGATAAATGGTGATCGTGAGATAATAATTAGAAACAATGCCTCATGATAGACGATAAAGTGAGTATATGAATGGAAATAGGTACAGAAATAGCTCCGGTAATTATACAACAACAACAACAACAACAACAACAACAACTCCGGTAATTATAGATGGGAACAAATAAGATGATTATGTACGGAGCTGAAATATAGAGGATAGAGGAGAGAATAAATTGCTAAGACATTAAATGGGCAGATTGAAGTTTGAACTATTGAAAGATACCGTGTCTTCACAAAGAGGGTCTAAATAACGACTTCTAAGTGTTGGGGCTAATGAAAGGGTGCTGCAAAATAATATCAGAGAATATATATAACTTAAGAAAGAAAGAAGTAAAGGGGATAAAATGGATGCTGTAAACAAGCGAAGTGGTCATAAATGACGGGAAATATGGCCGGTATCCAGAAAGTAGAATAAATATAAGCTCTGGTGTTTTAAAACGTTGAGCATGAACCTGAGAACTAAATTTGAATGTTGTGATGCAGGGTATGAATGTGGTGCTGGTTGTGGTGAGTGTTCAAGAGTTGTCCAGCCACGAAGTATGGGCTAAAATACACAAACATGTAAACATACACAATGCAAAGGAATTGGTAGCCGCCACACCTGACCAAGCAAGGGAACGAGTAGAAGTCAGGTGTAGTAAGGCAACAACTAGTGAAGCATTTGGAATTTGAGTCCAATGTTAGGCAGGAAATTGGACAAGGAACCAGCACCTCGTGATCTTCTGAGGAGAAGTCCGAGTGAAGATAAATTTAACAGTGTTTTTATACAATGTTTTTATACTGCACCGTTGAGCAAGAGCGCGAGTAACGGAACTATGGTGAAGAGAGACAAAAGTAGAAGCAAAGCTGAGAGAGTAAATCGTGAATAATAGGAGTCTGACGACTGCAAGGTAATAAATATAGTGTCCAGAAACTGAAAACTAATTAGAAGTAGATAGTGCTGCTGTAAGTGTAAGAGTGCAGATAATGTAAAAGAAAAGGTCGAACTTTATGCGCGAAAAGAGTGCACAATCAAGTGACACTGGCGAGAGAGCGCGAGCGTGAGTAACAGGAAACTAACAAAGTGCAATAGACAGGTGATACTAAAGAAAGCGCACGCATGAGTAACAGGACTCTAGTCTTCACAATGTCGAATGAGTGCACTAACCAGGTGACTCTAAGGAGAGCGCACGCGTGAGTAACAAGACTCTATCGAAGGGATCTCAAACACGAAGCGCACGAAAGCTAGAGTATAACGTGAGTAAAAGGACTCTGACGACTACTATGTTATTGTTACAGAAAAAGTGACCAGAAACTGAAAACTTAATGAGTAGATCAAGAATTTAAAGAGGTGCAGGATACCAGCTGTAAAGAAAAATGCTGTTTAAAATGGAAGAGTGCAGATATAATTATAAGTAAAGGTGAAGCCGATTGTAAAGTCTTAATAAAACTTCAGCGCAAAAGAAATAGTGTTTGGATTTGAAGGGTGAGACACCAAACCGTGAACGGACTTCATTCTCTGTGAGACCAGATTTCGGCTTTGACAGCAGAGCGGAGTTGTAGTAGTTGTACTAGTATAGGTCCATGCTCCCTTGCTTGCGTGTAGTATGCTGGTGTATCGTTTCCATCAAAGGAATAAGGAACGTGGTCTTAAAACTTGCTGAAACTTAGCCAAAATCGCTTTATGTCAGAATCACTCTCTCTTTTGCTAATTGTGGAGAAGCCGCAATTAGAGAGATGGGCCATTAGAGAGGGGAGCTCTGAAAATTACAACGCACGGGAAACTGCTAAACAGGTGATGTGATGTATTTAGTCCTTACGGTAATTTGGTTAAGCTTTACAGGCGCTAAACTTCTTTAGCAGACGCTCCAAATCCCCACAAGGTTTGATTGACGTTTTTTTAATTTTTTTTAGAGAGGCTGGGCCTGGTTAGCCCACGAGAGGATAGCATATGAATGCTTTGCCTACCTCTGGGGTATGGCAGTCCTGTGGGAGGATGCCAGTGGAATCAAGATGTGTAGGTAATCAAGGATGATGGTAAGTGTTGTGGGGTGTGTCATAGATAAACGCTTAAGTGGTGGTTGAGTGTGGAAGAGAGAGGCGTTTGATTGACGTACTTTATCATATAGTAAGATATTACAACAACCTGCAGAAAATAGAAATTAGTTACCTGTTGAGTGTTTGATTTTGAGAAACACTTAAGTTGTTAGGTCAACTTTTAGTATGGGATATGTAAGATGTATTTGGAACTATCTGTGAACAAATTCAATAAGATCGTTTCTCAGCGTAGGTTGACCGCAATCATCACATTTATGGGGTCGAATGTTTGGAAGCTCTGAGTCATTCAATTGCAAGTTGTGATGATATATCCTATTATGACGCATCTTAATTTTTGACCATGATCTCACATCTTAATTTTGGATTAAGTTTCGACCTTAACAACTCCTTGAAAATAACATGTTACTAGAAACGAATGAGGTATAACGTCTTTATTGGTTATTAGTCTGGTTAATGAGTTACGAATTACAAAAGCAACCTTCAATTGATAAAATTGTTAATAGAATAATTGTTAATCACACTAAAAAATGTTTCAAATGTCTAAAGCATCTTAATCGAGTCATTTGATCTAGTTGACTACGAGATACTGCTTTATAAGCTGCAGAGAACTATGATGTAAGAGGCATCAGCTTGTCTTGGTTCGAGTCGTATCTAACTAACCGGAAACAGTATGTTCACGTCAACGGTTGTAATTCGGAAGAATTGGGGATTACCTCATTGTTAAACGCTGTTTAACTTTGATGCACAAGGTTTACATAGGCGTAGCACCTTCGAACATCGGTAATATATTTGAAAGAGCATCACTTAGACAAACGGCAAGGATAAATAGTATTTTGAAATTAACTAGTCCTCTTAAATTAAAACCTAGTGATTTAGCGACCACATTAGCAATGTCCTCCTTGTATATTTTCTGTGGAACTCAGTTTGCGTAGTTCAGACCATGGCAATTGCCGCATGCAGGTATACAGCTCATGCCAAATCTATTGGTCAAGCAGCTGTCTCCAGTAATACTCACCTGACAGTTACAGGAAACGGATTCCAGTATGGAAGATTGTGATGCCAAAATTTGAAAATTCTAATATTTTAGACCACGCCCATTCAATATTAAAACACCTATATTGTTCTCTCTGTATATTATGGACGCCTTTTCAAAATGTTGTATCTGATCTGAAAAAATGAGGCAAAACGGATTATAAATGACGACATTATCAAGTATTTTGTGTATCTCGTTAACAAAATTGACTGGGTGATTATGTGACACCGTGACACGACACCTTAATTGGGCACCCTTAACAATTCCCATAATGTTTAACGGGGTGGTTAACGGGGTCACCTAATCACGTGATTAGGTTAACCAATCACCTTATCACACGTAATGATTAATCTCGTTATGCTTCGTATCTCGGTCATCTGAGAAGCTAAAGCTCTATTTTTTTTTCAGGAAAAACGTAATTCGAATGGCCAAACACAATTCAATAAAAATTTAGCTCGATCCGACGATCCAAACTATCAAATAAATGCAAAAATGAACCTTCAAAAAAATTAACACGAATATTTTTCGATTTGACAAATTCCTCGAACCTGCAGTGGTGGTAGTAAGTCATACCGGAAAGAATTATTTCAATTCGGCACTCAGTGACTGAGCTATTATAAAGGCCAACGTTTGCACACTGACTTTTGGCCCACTCTGTACTTATCACAACTTTGCTGATTCAAGGGTTTATCAAAGTTACTTTACAAGTATTGAAACAATTTCACCTTCAGAAATGTCTCCTTTTGTTGCCCTGAGGTCAGGGGTGTAGGAATGATTTTCTTCATGGGGGGCCAAATTTTAAATATTTTTTGTCGCTTCGCGCCAAAGCATGAATTTCAAAACATTTTCGGGGCAAGGATAAAAGGAAATTGCGGCATGTGCGGAATCGCGATTTTTTCAGTTCTCCGCGACAAATTGCGCATTTTCCTTTAAATCTGAAGACCAAATCCGCCTATTTTCCTTCAAATCTTCGGGCCAAATATCACGTTTTCTAATTCTGTATACGAAACCAATCACATCCACAGCCTTCCGAATGTAGGTACGGACTTCAGAAAACAGAAAAAATATTTTCGGCTCATAACGATCAGAGTAGCATGAAACATGAACAAAAGTAGTTTCCAGAAAAACTTTGAAAAATTTTGACCGAAAAAGTACTTTTTTCCCACAAATTTTTAAAAACCTAAATTTAAAAGTTAGCCTTTTCGGCCCCTTGCCCAGATTTTATTGGGGGCGATGCCCCCCCCCCCCCCCCCCCCCCCCGCTTCCTACACCCCTGCCTGAGGTTGTTAAAGGTCTGCAAGACTTCTTCATGATCACTCTCCCGGCATAACTAGCAAGAATCTTGACTTTATCGAACCCATAGATGTATCATGTAACTACTAACTGACCTTGTCCGAGCCCGAAAAATTGTGACTTAACAAATGATGTCCACCTTGCTTAGGGGACGTTTGGCGTTTGCAATTGATGTCACAAGTCCCCACTTTGGTTGTACCGAACAAGCTGTTAAACAATTTAAAGTGTATGTGGTTATTCATAGGCGTAACGCGAAATAAATCTATTAAAATCGGCGTGACTTTTTGGTGCTCAAGTTTGCGTAGAGTTGAGCTCTCGGAATGGCCTAACAGTATTTTAAAGTTAAATGATGTAAATTAAAATTAATCTGTAAATTATGTTTTATCATTGTAAACGTGTCAAAACGAGGAATATCTCACAGAATTATGTTAGAGAGAGCGGCAAAAAATACTGTCTGCAGCAAAATAACACGATTTTTTGGTGACCAATTATTTTGTTGCACGGCGGTTTTTAAAAGGTGATATCCCAACAATCCAATTATTTTAAAGCTCAAAATAATATGTAGAAGTCATTTGAGAAACTGCCTGAACTCTGAGTCTCCTTGACGGAGCTTGTGATAGTAACCCATCTTGACGGACGAATGACGATGTTTCACCAACTTGAAATTGAATGACTTAGAGCTTCCAAACCGTCATTCGATGATTGCAGTCATTTTGATAGGGTTCCTGATCTCTGAACTCCCACCAAGAACAGAGATACGAAATTTCACCAAGTGTAAAAAGTTATGCCCATCGATTGGCGATGGAAATAATTTTCTGGGTGTTCTTTAGACCCTATTACGCCCTCCTACGTTGAGAAACAATCTTATTTAATATTTTCTCTTATGATTCTACTTCTAGATCTCCCAAACTGTTCATTTGCAAAAAAACGCAATTATCACTTGCTATAATCGTGATTTACCACTAGATTATCCATTGGGATCACGGTTCGGTAATCTGTGGGTGGACACATAACGCACGGTTAACGCACGATTAACGCACGGTTCACGCACAGTTAAGGCACGGTTCACGGCTCACGCACGGTTAACGCACGGTTAACACACGGTTAACGCACGGTTAACGCACGGTTAACGCACGGTAAACGCACGATTAACGCTCGGTTAATGCACGGTTAACACACGGTTAACGCACGGTTAACGCTCGGTTAATGCACGGTTAACGCAAGGCGGTTTTAGCGGATATTTGTATCCAGGCTCAGCTATCTGACATTATATATCTTCAGTACTGGTAGAAGTTCCAGTGATACAACCACTACAGATACCAGCAGCTCAAGCTAATGTCTCCTTCAGTAACTCAGCTCTAGAACACAAACTAGCGCAGGTAATTATATCTTCTCACTGTTCCTAGGAGACTTATAGTGCAAGTTATATTGTATCTTCTCTTATAACTGTAACTAATCCTCTAATCCTCATGTGGCGATTTAAATACAGTCTTAAAGAGTGGTTCAAAACGTTAAATATATTAGACGAAATTCATTCCATTTAGTCTGGCTTTTTACTTTTGAAGTTGAACACAATATGAAGCAGCAATCGATCAATTAGCTTTCAGCATTTATCAATCAAATCCCCGAATATCTCGTGTTCAAACAAATATTACGAGTATTATTCAGGTATCAGAAATGCATGGAGAGTTAATGGAACTGAACCAAGAGTTGGTTACTAAGAATTTAGCCCGAGAGAAACAGTTACATGAAATGGAAAAGAAGCTCACTGAAATTGAGAACAAGGTTTGTTCATTATAACTGTTTCATAATGCAAAGGTTATTTTTGTTTATTTTGTTGGTATACCTTAATTCCCAAAAATTTGGGCGACAACAAATTTGAGCGGGCCTCTCGCCCAAATTTTTTGCAGACCAAATTAATTGCATAAATCTTTTCCGTCTGCTAAATTTGTTGCTAACCAAACTTTTGGCATTTGGCCTGTGGCCCTGAAATCTATAGAAAGATGGCTTTTTCTTCATATCCAAGTGAAATAATATTTGAAATTTTAGTTTTCTAATCTGTCATTCATGGCTTGACCAAGTAAAAAGGCTTATATTTTAAATGAATAGAAATAACTGGAATAGCTAACAGCTACTAATAAAACAAATGGCTAGAGGTACGGATAGCTAGAGATTTAAACAAGATCTGCAAATGGATTATCATCCACCGTAAAGTCTGATCTACAAGCATCAGTTATACCCGACTTCTCAAAGCCTTTCCTTATGTCATCTGGCCTCCCTTTTAAATATACAAAAAGTTCGTTGATCCAACGAGCGTGTACTTCACGGATCACTGTCAAGCGGGTATCAATTTTCACATTGTCTGATGAAACTCCTCCATTGAGCTGACACACTATGTTTTTCGCGTACCAATCTTCGTACTTATTGCGCATGCATTTCTTAGCCAGTCCATTGATAGATATGTCCAGGGGCTGTAGATGATGGGTCATATTAGCTGGAACTTACTGTAGGATACAGTTGTTGGCTGTCATCAGATCTTTTAGTGTCTGCGTGTGTTGGGCCCGAAACACATCTGATATCAGTAGCGCTTTCTGCTCATAGATCATGATGTAAACCTTCTAATTTTCTTCCAAACCTTTCGACCATCTGGTGAGGCGTCATAATGATAATTGTATGTGAAAGGGGTATGATAAGATATGCTGAGTGTAAGTAGTCTAAACTATCTGATTGAGAGACTAAATATCACTATTGTATATCTATCATTTTGTACTGTGCCATCATCACTGTATTTTTTAGTAGTTACTGGGCAGATCGTAAATTTCATAATGTGAAACAACTCAGACTACCACCTACATGCTTAAAATTGAAAGCAAAATGACTGGAATAATAAGGAATAATAATGAACTAAGGCAAATATCTAACTGAAATTTTAGTGGAAAATCGTTCATTTTTCGAAGAATTTGTGCCCAAATTTTCGGTCGCCCAAATGAGTTCAAATTTTCTGCCCACATTTTTCGGGCTCAAATAAATTGTGCTCAATATAATGGCACACAAATTTTTGGGAACTAAGGTAATCTCAACCAGTGTCCGAATTATAGGTTAACTAATACGGATAGTCTCACTCAACGTCCAAAGTACCCTAATGCTAAATGAGAAGACCCTTATATCTTATGTTGCTCAGAGGAGAGACATGCAGCAAGTATCAATATGGTAGCACAAAATAATGGATCATGCCATGATGATAAGTTGATAAGTTGATTGGGAAATTGCTTCGTTGGATCGACACCTTGATATCACTGAAATGACAACTTAATTATTATGGGATATATACTAAGATGGCGTTTCTCTTGTCTCATATTACATAATATATTATATGTATGTTAAATGGTTAGTCTTCTGAGGAATCGCGACTAATTGTTACCATACTTCTGTTGTACTTGTTTGGAGTTCTGAGAAATATAAATGAATGCTAAAGTTGTTATTTGTGTAAAGTTTCACTTTGCATAAGTAATATTTCTTGGTGTTCGGTGATGTTTTTGAATATTTTGTGATTTTTGAATGCTTAATTATATTCGTTCAGGACGTTACAGAAGGAATTAATTTAATGTAGTCCGAGAAATCTTAACCCTCCTAGCGTCCTAAGATGGCGTTTCTCTTGTCTCATATATGCTTTGAGCAATGAAAATAGAACATGGATACCTTTACCAGGAGTTGGGCAGTATAGAGGAGAGTATATATGTGACATGAGTGCTTTCTTCATTTCAGATGGAAAGTGCTGGTCTTTAACTACGAGTTGATAACGTGAAACAGGTTTCACTTCGTTAACACAGTCTTTTAGAAGAGATGGTGGAATAGGATCCAGGCAGCAGAACTTGTTGGATGGACATCTTCGAGACTGAGACTTTTAGTTCGTCAGATGCATGGTCTTTGTCAAGGATTAGGTATTTATCACAGAGTAGTTCTTTGTCTTTGACAGAATCTTTTTCCTACCATCCCTGATAAGTGATAGTAGTAACCTTATCAGCAAAGAAATCTTTGACATTTTTTAACAGTTCCACTGGATATTTGTAATTTGGAAGGTCATGGGTATCGTTTCTTTGGAGCTGATTGAGTTTCTTGTAGACCGTATGTGCAATGTGTATCCTCTTAAGAGGATTGGAGAGAGGCCTTATTGAAGACTTGTCAAATTGTAACTGACAGAACTAATTGTGTCTGAGTCCCAGCTTTTAGGTACTCACATCTTTCACTGTCTTCTGTATCTACCTTGTCTTTTCTCCAAGTACGTTCAGCAACTCCTCTTTTCCGCCTGCGAATGCGAAGTTTCAAGTTCAACCAGGGCATTCGCTTCTTCACTATCTTCTTTTTTATGTTAGGATATGATAAAATATATAGAAAACTAAAAGAGCTTAATAAAAGTATGGCTCAGTGAGTAGTGACACAAGGAAAAAGGAAGGAACAGTACAAAGAACAGATCCACTGTATATGTAATAGTTCTGCCCAAAGAATCACTAAGTTCTGCCCAAAGAATCACTAACGTCACTCATAATCAAGAATAAATTAACTCAAAACCCGCAATAATTATGAAAATATTCATTTCATTTTGTAGGAAGTGTGTGAGTAATACTAATGTATCTGCCGAGTTCTTTTGAATTATTAATTATTAAAGAACGTACGATATATCTTGTTCAGTTTAACACTCAATTCCCAAACATCTTTAAAGAGCAGCAGTAAAGAAACACCTCTAAATGCTTATTAAAAACAAATGTGCAGGAGCCCTCCATCCTGCCTGAAAATGGTGCTTTCCGAAATACTTCTTATTAAAAGTAGGCTAAACCGGCAGTCAAAACAATTCTTTTTGTGACGATTCGGAGAAAAAGTGAAATCAAAAATAAACAACATAGTATATAACAGTCCAGAGAAATATATCAAACACCATAATATAAAATTTGTTTACATATTATAGAGATGAGAGTGCTTGCTCATAAAGGAAACCCTTTTAATATTATTTTATTTATATTGTATTTATTTATTTTATTATTATTTGACATATTCCGTCATTTTTAGAGAGTAGGTAGAGAATTCAAACTTGAACTAAATTGCTGCTGAAATGCTAAACATTTGTCGTTAAACTGGTAGTGGTATTACTCGCCCTTACTCTCGAATATTTCACTCTTGCAATTACCATCAACTCGAATGAGTTAGCGAGTTATCGAGATTTCTAAATATCTATTTATTCCCCGTTACATAATATATAATGGATAGTTAATATCTGCAGAAAGGGTGACGTATTCTCATTCTCAAATTTTGAAATAATTCTGCATTCGTACCCTTCTATCTCACAAGGGTACGAATGCATTCAAATACAGTGTTTCATCGCTGATGTTCCAACATACACCAGAGTAATGTTACCATGGTAACGCAGATTAAGTGATAAACTTTGAATGTAGACTGTTATCTAACGAAATCAGAATTAAATGTCTCAACATTCACGAAACAAAGCAGGCCATTGTTACCCTGTAGTTTCACTTTATCATGGGTACTGAGTACTGACTACTGATATAATCTAAAGTATAAACTGAGCACTATATTTACAATCAGATAGCACCCTCATTAAGCCACCATAAGTCAGACGACATCCCATCCTAAGTGGCCCTTATCATTTCGCTCGACCAAAAATTATCACGTGACTTGGGCTTTACAGTTTTGCAGCCGAACAAAGCAGTTTTACATGTTTTTACATATCCCGGAACCCCAAATCTAAACCTACCCTACCCTCACTAACTGCTCATCTCTACCCGAGGTTTGCAGTAATTCAGGGCACGGTAAATTGGGGTTTTACTGTATATTGTACATTAATTAATCGAGTGAACATGGACTAGTAAACCAGGAGGTGGCCTCAATTAATAAAATACAGTGGTGGTAGGGTCTAGGTCACTCGAATGAAAGAATGTAAGTAAACTCGTGGTTAACTCGTGGTTTAGGAGTTAGGACCATGCCTCTTTGTATTGAGTTTGACGTACAATTCTATAAAGAAACAGTAGGTGAACAGTGGGTGGCAGCAATAAAACCTTTTATTCTGAGGAAATAATATGAATATCTAAATATCGGGTGAGCAATGTGCAAGAATGGTATTTATTATAAACGATCCTGCTTTGCTGCTTTGAGAATAGTGCCAGCGTAGTATTCCCAGCCATGAATTGACCTTATATTCTATCCGTCGATTGGGTTTTAGCCGAAATATATCTTACAAAGATATCTTACAATTAATGTTAACATAATACATTTTCACTAAAGCTGAAATGTGATAGTGATAAGTTTGATTAGCATTTCTCAAATTTTCATTAAATCGTGTTACTGCCTCCTTGAAGATACTTTGGTCCTATGTAGTTTTGTAAGTGTAACTGTGATGCATTACTGTAAAATTTATTAGAATTTTGGAATTTTTAAATTCAATCAGCATGTTATTCATGTGAGTTGTAAATATATAAATATGGTTGCACTATCACAGGAAGCCACGAGGAAACAGAGAGAGTCTGATCCAAAACGCGCTAAAAGTAAAGCAACAAAGCAAGAAGTTGATTTCAGGTACTTCCACAGTTTAAAGTTGTAACGAATTTAATTAATCAACAAGTTAACGTTTACTTTGACGTCTGCTTAGTTAGATTTAAAAGCTCCACTCAGAGTGGACCACTCTGCCAATAAACGGTTACCGTGTTCTACCCCCCCCCCCCCCCCCCCCCCCCTAAATGTGATGATTCTGACCATTTTCATACCCAAGTTGATCTCCTTTCTCCAATCAGAAGTGGTGATATGCGGGTTTAGATATGGCGAAAGCGCCAAAAAAGGGCGTGGTCAATTGTGCAAAACTACCCCATACTTAGAAAGTCTACCCAAGCCAAATTTGTTTCTGAGGGGTCCCTTGAGCCGTTCAAGGTCGAAATCTTTATTCGGGTTATGAAAATTATAGCCTGGGGTCCCCAGGTAAATCAGACACATCCGGGGAAATGTTCCCGGCAATGTGTCGACTTTAATAATCTGTTTTCGCTTTTGAGTGGGTCGATCATATAATTGATGTTTTGAAAAACTGTTGGAGACTACCACTTTGTACCAAAACATCAACTAAATGTGTCGAATTAACAATACTAGCAGGCAATGCAAGAGACAACGATACTTATTTATTTTGTGATTTCAACACCGCTTGTTGGTCCAAATTTTGAGACCTAAAGTTTTTTTTTCTTGGTCAATTTTGTATTTCATTATACTGGTCAAAAGGCCATAAAAGTATCCGACCCAGCCAAACATGTTTCAACAGAATATCTTTTCGGGGAAACTCCTGTTTAAGTTGCAGATGTCGCGGTGTCAGTAAAATGGCAACAGATATATATCGTCTCGCTTTATATGTAGTAAAACGAGTAAAACATTGATTTTTTAAAACAAATCATATTTTATACAATCGTGATTTAAGTTATGTTCAATAACATCTTCGATTCAATCATAAGATGTTAAGACTGCGGAAAATAAACAAGGACCAGTCACCTTCCATGATGATTCCAATCATCTGCAAACTTGGTCAGTGTTGGTACAAGTCATATTCATCTGAACAATACTTGAGTTATATATCTAGTATCAGTTACATAATATTATCTAGTTAAGAAATTGATACTTTTGACTGGCAAATTCTATTACATAGAGCAATCTAGAGAGCCTCATTAAACTACCCAGTCAGAGACAGAGTAGTGTAAAAAATGGTACGAGTCAGACAATGTTTGACTAGGATCAATGGTACATCGAACGGTTACCCTACTGTTCATCCTTTCAGCAATGAATACTAGCACTGGCTGTCACGGGGATTATCTGCTAAAACGTGACCTAAAGTGATTTAGAGTTAATTTTTACGAACAAATTTGTCAAAACTTCTAAAATAGGCCAAATTTTGGTGTATAAAAAAATTTAAAATATTACAATTTTGTCGGCTCGTGGGATGCGTCAAAGATAAATAACGTGAGCTGCACTTATAGATACGTATGAATAATGAATATTGAATAATTCCGCCACATTTCGTCGACTGGCTTAAACAAGAAGCTTCCCTCCGTTGAATGACAGAGCTTACGGTAGGGCTAGGGCAATAGCTCGCCGCTTGGAGGTAAATTAATACCTGTATCAAGTTTATTGGGAATTAAAGCTGCCATCCAGTCGATCAATCAAATTAATGACAGGTTCGAGAATCGAGAACGTTGTCAAGCTCAACAAAGTACCATTTAGATCAATCAAATTAAAACCAGTCGCAAAATCTACAAAAATTTAATTCCCAGAATCAATTCATTTTTTGATGACGAAAACGTTGCTGACATGGTTTCAAAATATCGACACCTTTAACGCACCGTTAACCAGACCGATATCACGTGACCCACCAAGTATCGACCAAACCTGTCACGTACAACGCGTTTTCAATAATTGGTCTAGACTCTAGTCGGCAAACCTGCAATCGTGCACCTGTTAATCGTGAATGGAAGTTTATACAGGCTATCAGCGAGGTATTTAAATACATTTTGAATGTAAAACTCTTACCGTTTTCTTGATTAAGCTGCTCAAGCCATTTTATGTAACATTTGTGGTACAAAACCATCAATTAAACCACTTACCACCGACTGATTTAAAAATCCTTTACCATTTGACTTCCTTATAGTTTATATATAATATATAAGTCTCTCCTTATATATATAAATATATGCTTCCCTTGTGCTAAGAAATGTGATCTCTGCAAAAAACTTCCTGAAACCATCAACCACCATCGGCAGTTTCCACACCAACCAAGTATTCAGTATCAAAGGACGATTGGACTGTGATACCAAAAATGTTGTTACACCAAAATCCAACCACTCAAAATTGCCAACAGCTGTCATAATTGTACCACTGTATTGGCCCACGTTGTTAACAGCTCGTTCGAACAGGGGATCTTTCCCCAAGCCTTGAAAACGGCAAAAGTAGTTCCTGTACATAAAGGTGGATCTAAAACTGACATCAAAAATTACATACTGATATCTCTACTTGCCACTTTCTCAAAGAAACCTTCTCGGCAAAGAAACCTCATTTATCGCGATGTAGTAATTTGTGGTGTCACAATCGAAAGAAAAACAGGAGCCCGTTTCTTAGGAGTTATAATAGATAACAAACTGAACTGGTCGTTACATATTTCTGCCATGAAAATGAAAATGGCCAGATACATTGGAGTCATGTACAAACTTAAAAAATATTTGCCTCTGGAAGCACGTTTACAAATATATCACAGTTTTTTGCTGTCTCACCTTAATTACTACTCCCTCGTCTGGGGTTTTGCTGCCAAGTCCCATATAGAAACACTGTTTGTAAAACAAAAAATAGGTCTTAGAGCAATACTACCAGGTTTTGTTAATTACTGGTACAAAGATGGTACACCACCAGCAAGTACCATGTCTGGTTTCTATGTACACAAAATATTAACAGTTCATAGTATCATCGTAAAGAACTCATTAGTTTTTATACATAAGCTGAAAAACTTCCCAAGTCTAGTGCCTCCCTCTATAAAGAAAATAATACCTAACAGTGCACCAATATTTAACGTCGCCGATCTGGATTCGGGTCTTACAACTTTATGGTCAGATGAATACGGTAAACACCCTTACAATAATTCAGTATTCTACAAAGGTCCACTATTAGCAATAAACAGATATAGTGTCGCAGCAACTTCCTTGCCAAGTCTCTTCAACCTTAACATCTACAAAAGGTGCATAAAAAACATGCTCATTGATCAACAAAACGAGGGCATTGCAGACGAATGGCCTAACTTTATGTTATACAATATAACGGGACTAAGGAAATCAGAGCACAACATCAACCGTAATTCTGATAATAACTCTGTCTCAATACCATAAGCACGCCATCACAGAATCAATTTCACTGCATACCATCTCAGTTACACTGCCAGCAAATACGGCATGATGCTATGCGACTGATAACAGTCGTTACATTTAAAATTTTGGAATAGCTAGCTAACCGTAGCTATGCACCTGTTTCCACTCTAACAACTCTAAAAGCGCATTAATATAATATGATAATTTCAACGAAAGGCAACTTTTTATGTGCTCAGCTATGTTTTGTTCGACAAGCTCCATTTAAATCGTTTTAATAAGATCTAATCTTGTGTGAGTTTTAAATTTGAATAAATTTGAACACTTTTTATATATATACAGGGTGGGCCAAAAGTCAGTACTCATACGTTGGACTTTATAGCTCTCAAATATAAAACACGGCGGAGCTATTACATTTTTAATTTCTATTTATTTGATTGATTGCATGATTGATATTTTAAATAAATTTACTAACATGTCTTCATATCAGGATAACTGTAAAGGTATATTTTACCGACATTTGAAGTCAGCGCGTTGTTTTACTGACAGTTGTGGCTGACTAACAATATATGTATATATATAATTGTGGGTGGCGTCGTCTGCTGACAGTGCTCAATCGGCAAGCCGAGAGCTAGATACAAATTTTATATATATAATATATATATATCCTCGAACCAGTAAGTACAGTATGCCATCTTCAAAGCAACAGCTCTCAAATATAAAACACAGCAGAGCTATTAAGGCCAACGTATGCCCACTGACTTTTGGCCCACCCTGCATATGTATATATATATACCCATAGACACAGTGTTTCGCCCTATTGGGACTCATCAGTGTGGCTCAAATCATCAGGGTTGATTTTTGCTGATGGCGGGAATGGAACCAACAATCTCACGACTGCTGGCCCGGGACAATGCCATTGCACCACCAAGCCCTTAATGATGAGGGAATGAAATAGGTACCAGTAACCAGAGTGCTCTACAGACTCATTACGACTTCAAGTTTAACAAGACTTTCCGCGAAAACCGTGAGAGATATACTTTTGAAACTTTTTTGGCTGCACTGAGTCGAATGCTTTTATGGCCTTTTGGTCAGTGTTAAGAAATAAAAATTGGCCAAGGAATAAGTAATTTAGGTCTCGAAAAATGGACCCTTAGGACTCCGACTAGGTGGTGTCAAAATCACAAATTAAATAAACAGCTTTGTCTAATGTGGCACCACTTAAGAGAAACACGGGTTCCTGCTAGTTATTATAAAACAATAGCAGGATCACGTATAACCCTAAACTGGTGTCAAGACTCAAGAGACTAAAATAATTATTACCTATTTAATTCGCGTTTTGAATGAATCCGCGACAATGGTAGTCTACTTATTCATTCTGGTAGGGGAGATGGTATCAAAAGGCAAGGGGTTGGCCTATGTCTTTCCAAAAAGGTCAGGAACTCCCTGATCTCTTATGTACCTACATCAGAGCGGGTCTTAACAGCTAGGTTACACGGCAAACACCTCAACATATCTGTTGTTGTAGCCTACGCTCCGACTGACGGTGCAGATGACGGAGAGAAAGATTGTTTTTACAACGTTTTATCAGACACGTTTGGTGAACTGCCCCGACATGATCTGAAACTGCTACTGGGTGACTTCAATGGAAAAGTTACTTCAAACAGATATGGATTCGAGGGAGTTATTGGTGGAGAA